TGGAACATTATAGCACTACATAACAGAATCCAGCTATGCCCATATGGCACAGTATAGCACTGGTAGAGATATCAGCTCAGATCCCAAATGGAATGTTGCAGTGCCAGTGCCTCAGATAAAGGAAAATTCTCTTAGCTGCAACTTCATATCAATGTAGTGACACTATTTCCTATTATAAATTTACTTTGACTGCTGCTAGCAGAGGATCTCTGCAACACGCACCACTGCACAATGTAAATATGTCCCCAAGCGTGTGTGTACATCAGTTTTTTAGTCTATTGTGCAAATATTGGTACGCACAGTTGTGGTGTCTGTGTTTACAAGCTATAAAGAGGCTTAAGTGTTTATCCCCTTTATAAACAGAGATATCCTGGACATGTTCAGACAACATGGAAACCTTACTCTTCATGGTACAGGATGCACATTATTTTATTCTGCAGAACCTCCTCCTAATCAGAGCATTGCAGGAATCTTTCTGATAAAATTCACTTTAAGATTTCCTGCTTTGTTTGTTTATTTGTTTGTCTGTTGCGGAACTTAAATTTGAAGTCACTGAAAAGAGCAAGGACATTATCATCAAACTGCTTGAGTGCCACAAAGCTCATTTGGGACGTCAGTTAAAAGAATTATATCAAATTATAATAGTGATTATAATTATATATTTTTAACTGTGCATTCTTCATTTTCCTGACAGCTTGAAACACTGAGACTGAACATGCATAGTGCTGAGCATTCAGTTACTGCTGAAACCAACAGGAGCCATGCTCTGAACATTGTACATAGCACCAAATACTATGAGAAAATCCCAGGTCCCGAGTTGTCTTCAATGGGGTATGTCAAGAAGAAGATAAAGGACACTAGAGGAAGAGAAGAATGTAGAGCAGCATTGATTGCAGGTAGATATGAGGCAGAGAAACAAAAATGGTCCAGATGGCAGAAGCAGCCAGTCATGAGAAGGTTTATTCTCTATGTAAATACCTTGGGAATGACAACCTGATATTTGGCACTGGAGTTGTGGAAAAGGTGTGAAGGAAGGCATGGGCTGAAACAATGCTGTTTGACCTCTGAATGTTTTATTACAGGGAAAACACCTCATACCAATGCAGGGTTACTCTGGGAACTTGTGGTAGTCTCACATTATTGTGCTAATACTAACACTATTGTCCACTTGACCCAGTCCATGCCACTCATGACATTTCAGATCTTTCCCAGGGAAAGGAACTTGCTTAATATAAAAGCATGGGTATATTTGACACTCAATACTTATGAGGTCTCTACTAGCTTTGAGTAGGCCTCAAATGTCTCAATACAGGACTGTAAGGTCTTCTGTGACTGGATTTCTTCCCAAAGGAGAACTGGTAAATAAAATGAGATACTATACTTCCTAGTCATATTGTTGTAAATTAGCCTCTTATGTTGCAGCTAGACATCTTCTAATGCCTGATTTAACTTGTTATGCTTTGCTTGGGTTCTTCTAAATGACACTGCAACCTTTGAAATTAACAGATAATAGAAATAAAACCAGAAATAGATCCTAATCATATTACACATTACCTGTTTTACAGTAAAGCATAGAGGTTGCAATGGAGATCAAAGCATTATGTAGGAGAACTACTCATGTTAATGAAATAGGGTTTCAGGTCTCGGGTATTTATGTGATTTGATTTTCAATGAATGAGTTTTATCTAAGCTTTTAGAAGTAAAGGAATGGCTCAATAGCACCATGTTTTACTAAGAGCTAGCGAAGGACGTAAAAGGAATTGTATGCCTATTGTAGTCCTTAACTATAGCTTTACTTTAGCTATATTATATCGCATCATAATATAAAATACCTACTGCAACTGTACATGCAGTACACCTTCACATAATTAGGGGAACATCTATAATGTTAACGAACAACTTTTGAGTAGAAACTAATCAGGTGCCTCACTTTTCCTTCTAAACTTATAGATAAAAAATATGGGTTTGAATTTGCACAGATTAAAAATTAGACACAATTAGAATGGTACTTCCACTGAATGTAAATCCTAATGCCCCAGAAGCAATTATGGAGCTTAAACTCATCCTCAGAAGTGGGTAAATGGCCAGCCAGGGAAAAACCCAGTAGACAGATCCTCAGGTCCTCATTAACTTGCATTTTAGTGCTGGCACAGAGGAAGTGCCATAGTTTCTACCATAGTTTCTTTTATTCTTCCCTCACAATGGAGCTACTCCAGTATAGTACTAGGTGGACTAGACACATTCTGCATGTGTCTATAAGTCCATCATTCTACCTCTTAGAAATATAAATGGAAATATATAAATACTTACTACACCTGAAAGCTAATTAAATTTGCTATGACATTTTATTTGCATCTTGCATAGAGTATGTATGAAAATAAGGTATGAAGGTCTCATTTTTTTTCTTATGAAGAACCAGATTCAGAAATCATGAGTAAGATGTGCTAATAACATCATCACCACGGAGAATTTGATCGTGTAGGATTAAAAAAACTGAATCTGACAATCCTAAAAATTCTTTTACTGAAACATTTCATTTAATTAAATATTGCAGACACGGAGAGTAGGAACACAATCCTGTGAAAAAGAAAGATTAGCTGTAGAAAGAAGTGTTGGGGTTTTCAGATTAAATGCAGTGTCAGAATCCGTTCTCTTGTCTGTTAAAATAAAAAGTATGTACATCAATACATTTTTCAAATATATTAATACTTCTGCTTATGCAGTCAACAGTACAGTGATTTGATCATAAACAGTTACATAAATATGGACATGTTGCTCCAAGCCAATCTTAAAAAAATAGTCTCCTATGTCACCTGTGTAGATCTATTGAGTGAATGGACACAGTTTTTCTTTGAATAATTAGTAATACTACTAAATTAATTTATCGTATTTGGAAAATATTTTTGCAATTCTCATATATTTTGACACATTTTATAATAATTTCTGAGAAGAATTGACACAAGATAATGGAAGTTAACATGGCAAGAGGATTAATCAATAAACTAATAACTTAGGAGTGTGAGGATGTGATCCATGACGTATAAAAGACTTGAGATTTTCAGCCAAAAATGCAGATGTGGGGAACCACTTTTGATGATGCCTTAAAGCTCAGTCAAAGGGGTTAAATTTAACTGTAAACCGGTTTCAGCCATACAAAAGGAATCATCAGTAGTGACCAAACTGGGATCTCTGAAAGGTCATAGTACTTCCCTGAACATGCAGGAAATGTTAACTTGTGTATGTAAAACCACAGCATAGCAACTGTTGATATGAATTGGTTTTTCAGCGGTAAGCAATGTAATGATTCATAAAGCATATTTTTCTTCTCACAAACAGAATCACTTAATAAGCTTATGTGTGTTACCCAGCTGAGTTTACCATGCTATTGTATAATTATTGTAATTACACACCACTTATATCTGTTAGAATATTTCTTTTCTAGATCTTCATGCTGGATCTTTGATAATAACTGCTAGCAGAGATAACATTTACCCTAAATTTTCACTTCATGTATTTCTGTATATACAAGTATCTTGCAGTCATCTTCTTTTTCTCATTTAAATAATACCAAGGTATTATACAAGGTATTATACAAATTAATGACCAGTTGTACTTTTAAAATATTCAGGAAAGACAACACCTTTGCTTGCTTCTGTTTACTGCTTAGGGAAAAAAAAAGTATCTTTTGTTTCTCCCTTAATGTTGAAGTTACCTCCTCAAATGTAACTGCTCCAACAGAAAAAAAATACGTATTATTTTTCAGAAAATGAAGGAATTTCAAATGGCCATTTAGTGTATTCTGCTGCCCCAGGGCACTATCAACACCATTCTCAGGCAGGTGTTTTTCTAACCTGTTCTTAAAAACCATCAGTGATGGAAATTCGACAGTCTTCTTGGGCAACCTGTATGAGTACTTCACCATCCTTGCAAAAAGAAATGTTATCCCCAGTGTCTAACCCAAACTTCACTCCCAGTTTTAAACCTGATTACATCTTGTCCTCTTGTCAGAAAATATAGAGTTCATCCAGTACCTTTGCAGTAACTGTTTGATCCCATGGGGGATTATGAGATCCATGTTCTAACTGAAGACTATGTTTCTCTACATCCCGGGGTAAAACAGTATAAAAGGTAAATTCACTAAAGTAATGTAGCTATAAATAAATATATTAACATATTCACAAAACATTGTTCACTCTCTCATTGTTCCTAAGATACAGAAAATTCCAAAAGACATTCTTGCAAATCAGACTTTTTATGTCTTTAGGAATAGGAATCACCAAGAAAATCTGTAATTTTTTTATTGTAGTTAGAATCAATCTAATATGTTATGGTGGAACCATGTTTACTCAGAAGGGAAACAGGTGAAGTAGTGCTAAAACTACCCATGTGAGAAGATGAATCCCTCAAGGAAAGGTCCATATTACTGACTCTCCAATGCTGAAGGATTTTCATTGCATTGTCCTGTGTTGTTCCTGGCCTGTGGATAAATGCTGACCTTAGATGATGTTTGATTTCTCCATTTTCACAGGCAAATTAGCTACACTGACATGTGCAAACTGATTAAAAAAAAATCAGTGTTAGACCAAACTTCCTTGGGTTTTCTGAGAAGTTGCCATTATTTACCATAATGAGGAAAATTAAAAAGTAGGGAAGTAATTAATTCAAAGCTCCGAATCAAAAGTCACTCACAAGTCCCTTAAATTTTATTTATCCCGTAATATATAACAATTGGGAATACTAAGCCTGGGCAAAAATTCATCCTACTCACTTCTTGACATTTCGTCAAAAAGACCTGTAGAAAGAAGACTCCTCCTAGAATGCAAATAGCTGAGGGAAAGTCAGAGCATCCTCTATTTACCATTGCACCTGCAAAGGAAAACTAAAATGTCTGAAGCCCCACCTTTTAAGAACCTTGTGAAACAATCTGGGAACTGAGCCAAAACCTACTCTCTCACTATATAAGACTCGGGAGCAGACAGGTATTTCCTCAGAGGCAGGTTGTTCGGTAGTTTCTACCGGACTTCCAGAAGATGGGTACAGGTGGTGGGACACGAATACCACTATGGATATCAATACTAGCACTTGCCTTCATAGAGATCAAAGGTAGGAAGATTCACTTGCTTGGTGTTTTTACTGTTTTAAAGAATTTATAACTTGCTTCAGAGATCAAAACTTTTTTTTTTTCTTGGCTTTGTGAAGCTAATGAACCTGTTACTTTTATGCAAGATTATCTTTTCTGTTATGAATACTTTCCTTCCTAAGATGAGGAAATTACCTGTCTTGAAAATTTGTCTTGTAGCACATGTTCTCATCCTATTTTCTTCAGTTGAAATCTGGAATAGTTCCACTGAACTCAGTGGAACTCACTCAGAACTCACAGTTCTACCAGAATGCCTCAAGATTTGCATTTAGCTTTTGATGTCCACTTCAAGGTGGTACAACATTTCTAAATGCACAAACAAAAAGGTGCAAAAGTGGCTTTTAGGAAGGAAAAAAAATCAGTGGAATCTGTCTGCATGTATTATTAAAGATTTTTTGTTGTTTTATCAGCTGATGATACAGTATTGAAAAAAGGAGGGATTTTGCTTGAAAAACATTGGACAACAGTTTTTAAAAGCTCGTCTATTTTTGCACATGTGGTTGCATAAAAGCTTAGAGCATAGGGTTGGGTTTTGATGGGGTAAAAACAAGTGGAGTTGCCTTAAATATTCTAAGAGGACACTTAATATTAACAGATGAGTGGAAATCTTTTTTATGTATACTTCACTTGTTAATTTCCCTTAAAGTTTAAGATAACGTCAATGTTAGTTTTTAGTGCATTTTGATCTCAGACACAGATCCTAATGGATTATTTTACTTTTTCCTACTTCCACGTAATTGCACACTAACTTGCATTAAAAAGTGGTAGTGTCAAAAAATAGCCCATCAAAAGACTAGCTGTAGCATTGCCGCACCGTGCAATGGAAACGAGAATCTGTGGTGCATATGGCATGAAGCAGAGTATTGGTGCCAAACAGTGCATGCGAGAGAAGCAAAAAGCTCTCTTAAGCTAGACAGTGGAGAGGAGCCCAATGAATGAATGGCTCATAGCTTTAAAATGAGCACACTGTGTTCTTCCAACATCAGCTGCAGACCCCCAGCTGGTGCAAGATGGAAGGGATTTACGGAGCTCCTGCAGCTCTGATTTCAGTATTAGCCCCTCTAGCGGTGCTACCCACGGACTGCCCTTCTTGTGGGATGCAGCAGAGGGTGACCTGCCTTTTCGGTTTTCTCCGACCAGCGTAGCCTCTCCCTGAGGCTGCCCTCTGACAAACTCTCAGCAGTGCATTAAAAGCCCCTCTGGCCCCTGCAGATTTCGTGTGTATTCCTATTCTGATGCTGCAGTGGACTGGAATGAAAAAATGGTTTATTTGCTGGAAACAGAGAGTTTTGTTTCGCAAAATCAACATTCACAGGTGTATCTATTGGAAAGACCTGTTTCTTTCTGTGTGGCTTGTGTGGTTTTTTTCCTTCTGCTGCTAATTATAAGAAGTGCTTGAAACTATAAAATACAGAGTAACTTTGGATTTCAGTAAGAGGACAGAGATCAGTTCTCTAGCTCAAAAATTAATCACTCTTGCACAAAAGGGACCTATTTTTAAAGGACTCTGGCTAGACAAAAGGTTTTACTGGCACTTAAAGCACACAGTGATCAAAAGAACTAAGAAAATTGTCCTCTATCTGAAAAGCTTATAAGGTTATCCAGAGGTACTGTGACAATAACCAAACAAGGATTTGCTCAAATTACCACATTATCACAGGCATGCTTTTGATGGCTTCGCTGCAGGAATTTATTAGGGGAAAAAACAAAACAAAACAAAGCTAAATGAGTGATATATGGCCAGGATGGTTGCATGTAGCACAGGTCCTGATGCAAATCTGACCTTCTCTACATGAACATAGCTTTCCTGATTTTTTATATACTGAGTGTTGCATGTTTAAACAGATGTAATTGAGAAATGATGAGGGAATTCAATAAAATTACACATTAACATTTTCACATTTTCCTCCTCCATTCTTCTTGATGCAGTTCAAGCTCAGGATGATGAACCACAAACAAAATCAAACTATGTTTCTCCATCCACCCTGCAGCGACAAAAAGGCAAGTATTTTTATGCTGATCTATTTCTAAGATTTTATCCCAAATTAAATTGATAAATAATAAGATTACTAGAATAGTCTTATTCCTAGCCAGAACATACTTTCCCTTGCTCCCTCACCTCCCTCTTCCTTTACCCCTCCCCCCGAAAAAAAAGGAGAAAGAAATATATATAAAATATATTCAGTTCTCAGCCAATCTCTGACTGCTCTGAACTGGAGAACTTCCTCTGACATCTGGCCCAGTGGATGTGATGTGATACAGTTATCTAATCTTTAAGTTTATGAAAGGTACATACCTTCCATCCACAGGTGTATTTTCAGAAGAGGTGTGTGTATACATACATATGACAAAGGCACTTGATAGTAGGTAACAAAAGATGCATTTTTTTATGCTATCAGGATGACTGTATCACTCACAAGAGAATAGGAGAACTGTAACTACCTTAAACATTAGAATAATTAAGAACTACAAGATCATGCATGACTCCTAACTGTACAGAGCAAACAGCATAACTGTATAGAGCAAAATGTGGGTGGAAGAATACAACACTGACAGGTATATTAGTGATGACAGGATGAAACAATCATTAAACCTGTGCTGCAATCTGTAATTTGTGAGGTCACTAGTTGGCAATTAAAATAATTATAAACCCAAACTGGAAGTGTACCACAAATTATTTAACAGTGAGAGCATTTAATTATTGGAGCAGATTGTCAAGGAATGTAATATCTGTGCTTTCCCTTAAAGTCCTTACATCAAGACTATATTAGATTGTATTTCTAAAACACATATTTGTCTTAGTGATATTTTTTGGTCTAAACACAAAGTCAGTAACTGATACTGCACAATCTACAATCTGGAAGTCATCAGATTCTATGATTTTGATACTTTCAAGGGAGAAACTGCATCAATTCCTCAGACTCTCATCTTAAGAAAATCATATTGCAGGTTCTCTAAGTATTCTATCCCTTTCATTGTTGAATCCAAAGAGAAATATATTGGATTTGGACATAAAAAATTTAAGGCTGAATGCTACCAATAGAACTCTTTGCATGAAAAGCCCATGATGAAATTTTCACATAATTTAAACTGCTTTTAAAAAAAAAATCTGCTTAGAGTTATTTGTGCAAAAGCGCACATCTCAGCACAAAGAAAGGTATGAGCTTCAGAAAAAAAAACAGCTCCTGTTTCTCATCCTCAGTTTCTAATACTGTTCAGTAACTTTCTGCTGAGAAGCAAAGGTTTAGACAGACACTAGCACTGCTTTTTTTTTTTTTTTCATCACTACTACAACACTGTGCTCCAAGGCTCAGATTCCTGCTTTTGCATTCAGAACATCAGGACCAACATCAGGTGGAGGTCTTGAAAAAAAATAACGGAAGTACTACAGCCAAAGAGCATGGTCTTTGGGATTTGACTGTTAGTGAAATACATATAAAGACAGAACGCAAAGCACTGTGTAAAAACACCAATAAAACCTTGTGGAAACTTCCTCCTAGAGCATAACTAGAATTAGGATATGTTAACAGCTAAGGAGACTAGTCAATCTCTAATAATTTTTTATGACCTCTAATAAGATTAAGTTTGATTGGTTTTTTTCCCCCTTAGATTTTCCACCAGCTTCAAAATCCCATGAAGTGACAATCATTCCACCTTTTCCAAACATACTGAAAGTAAAGGGTAAGTTAAACAAGTGGGTTAGATATGTGAGTTCATACAGGTAGAACACAGAGTGACTGAAAATATTAATAAATTGAATAATTTAGCATCATAAAATTAAAAATGAACAAAAAAAGTAGTTGGTTCATCAGGTAAAAAAGATAATCTAAATGTGACCCGCAGTACTCGACCTGCAGATGTAAAAAAAAAAAAAAATTAAAAACTTTATATTTGTATATATGTATAAAAATAATACTGGGAAAAATCATGCACAATATTTCCAGTAAAGAGAGGGAAATATTAATGTGTTCAAAGCACTGGTGAGACACTTTTTCTAAGGTACAAGGTACACTTCTGACTAGCTGTGTTCAAAGGTGAGTGTAAATCTGGAAGAGACATGGAGAGGGACTGTGAGGATATTCAGGGAGATAAGAGAGCCTACTTGCAAGAAAATGAAGACTGAAGAGAGAGAAGTGATTTCTGTAACTGGTAGGGGGAGGAGGAGAGACATGGACACCTTTCAAGGTGAAGTGTAATATTGACACAAGAACATCCAGGCATACATGAGACAGGAATACATTTTGGAAGATGCTGACAAAAGTCTTAAGCCATTCAAAGGGTGCAGCTATGAGTGGCCTTCCGTAGTAGGAGTATCAGCTAGTTTTAAATTAACTTTAAATTGGTTTTATGGTGAAACTTTAGAATTTTGTACATTTAGGAAAGGATTTCTAGAATATGGCTGTCAGCAGAACCAGAACATTGCACAGAGTGACCTGGGAGGTCTCTCCCAATCTTCGACACCATATCCCTGGGCAGAACAGATTAAACACAAAAGATAACTGAACTATATATATAACAGGAAGGAAAACAGAAGATACTGGTTTTAGACAGAGGCTAGTGAAAGAAAGGGGAAAAGCAGCTAAAAGGAGAGTATCTACAGTAAATGACAGAAAATTCTTACTGCTTATTTTGAATCCACAGCTGGCAACCCCTCTCACAATGGCCGTGTGTGCAGCACATGGGGTAACTTCCATTTCAAGACGTTTGACGGGGACATCTTTTACTTCCCTGGGGCCTGCAATTACATCTTTTCATCCAACTGCAAGTCTCCCTATGAGGACTTTAACATCCAGATTAGGCGTACAATGGTGGAAAATGCTACCATGATCACTCGCGTCATCATGAAACTGGAAGGAGCAGTGATTGAACTGACCCGTGGCACTGTCCGGCTTGATGGCAAATCGTACGTTCATAACTTCAAATTTCCATCATTGCTATTGCTCTCACTGGGCTCTTTGAGTGAGCATACCTTTCCCTCATCTGATCTCACATTGCTCCCAAGCAGCTGGAGGGCTCAGGTACTTCCTGAAATACCAACAAAATTTAAAGGTCCTGATAGTGAGCTAAGTGCCACTTCTGCAGATTATCCGTGTGTCCATTTTGTTCAGATGAGCTAGATCCCAGATGCTGCCCCACTGCTGCAATTTTGTGTGTACATACCCAATTGAGTCTATAAACTGAATTCAGTCAAAGTGTAAGGTTTTTACACCCTTTAAGTTTCTACTTTCCACTAATTTTACCAGAACACGATCCTTGAGAGGAAGTTTTGACGGCTTTTGTCCTTGCACTGAACAGTCTGCACTTCAGCAGTGACTGCAGCTTGTACATGTGCTTATTTAAAATTAGCCACTCTGGAAACTTGCTATCTATGTAGCAATGGTAGCACTGACTTTGGCATAGGGTGTGAAACCTGTCCAAAAGGCTGGGTAAATATTTGGGCAGCTATCCCACAGTGAGTTGTGTATTATAGCAGCTACATATAGTGAGCTAGTCTAAAGGTTATCTTGGGTACACCTTTGTGAATAGCACTCATGTCACAGAAAGCCTAAAGAGTATATCCTTTTATTATCAAGGGTTTTAAGGAGTAAATAGCAATATCCTGAAGCATACTGCCCACAAAACAGAACCTCCCTTTTTTGACAGCACTTCTTTGAACAATACAACCAAAGACACATGCCAACATTTTACCTAGCAAAACATCATTAAGGGAGATAGCCAAAACGAACAGCAGGGAAAGCAAGGCTGATCCATTTGACAATGAGAAACAATTGCACAGGAAACAGCCAAAATGTAGCAAACTTGCTCTGTCTGCATTTAGTTAATGCTCTGACTGATTTCATCACCCATGTATGTTGAAGCTTTTTGAAGAGAATGAGGAAAGCTATCAGTATGGATATTCAATGGATATTCTGTTCCTACCCCCACTGAATTATGGTGATCTTTCCCCAGAGTTCAGATGCCCTACAGCCATATGGGAGTCTTCATAGAGAGAAGTAACAGCTATTTGAAAGTTTCTGCCAAGTTAGGACTGACCTTCCTTTGGAATGAAGAGGATGCTCTCCTGGTAAGAAAAGAGAAAAAAAACATGGCAGAAAGCCTGTGTTTTAAAAACAGTCTGTTTACATCTTTGCAGTCTTAATCAACCAGGCAGACATTAATTACTTTTGGATTTGTGTCCATTTTTAGTATATTGTTCTGTCTTCCAGTCTTCTTCTAATTTCCCTTTTTTTTTCCACAAACCTCAGCTCAGGATTAATAGATGCCCAATTAGAACATCCCCACCTCACAGTGAAGTACTCCTCAGATTCCAGACCTGACAATGTGTTGTTCACAGCCCCAGAGATGAAATAAGACCAAGTTTTTCTTGATGGTCACTGCTGTCCTTCCCAATGGTGCCTGCTTGGTTACCCCATGGCAACCTGCACAGCACACATATGTCAAATTTAGAATACATAAGTAATGTTGATGCAGGCTGTGTTGCTAACCATCAAGGCCAACATTACTATTAACCTAAGCTCTCTTTCCTCATTTCTTTTAGGTGGAACTAGATAAGAAATATGCAAATCAAACTTGCGGACTTTGTGGGGACTTCAATGGAATTCCAATTAGCAATGAATTTATTTCAGAGAGTAAGTAATAAAAAGCACTATTAAGTATTGGCACTTCTTTTTTCTATTATTTAGCAGTGTACTGTAACATACGTCATGGGTTGTATTAACTTTAAAACTAGTGATAGTTATTTATGTATTTTTACGATGTCAGTTATGTATGGAGTCAGGGCTTTGAGATGTATTAGGCTGCTTTCATTACTGTTAGATCTTTTAAGACCTGACATAGGAAACTTTCTACTTGTTTTCAATAGTTAGGATCCAGTTCACGTCTATCTTCTTCATCTCCTTTTGCCTTTCATATTATAATTGTATTATTTGATAATCACTGCTCATGTCATAATGGATAGTGTCACAAAAGAAAATATCTCCATGCAACACTAAATGTTATTCTAATATTTGGACTGTTTTTTACAGAGACAAAACTGACTCCCATACAGTTTGGAAACAGGCAGAAGATGGATGGACCAACAGAGCAGTGTGCAGATCCTGTTCTTCCTGCAGTTCCGGTGAACTGCTCAGCTGAATTTGTAAGAACTTTTCTCTCAAAATATGTTTTCTCAGTGTAAAATACATTATTCCTGTGTTCAGGGAAAATTTGGTAGAATTGGAAAAAATATAGCATGAATATGACTCAACCATAAGTCTAGAAAGAAAATTCTTCTAAATTTAATTTTTTATTCTTTACTAAAGTGAATGCTAAAAAGTTGCATTCCCCTTCCAAGACAAGACTGGATATTTTCATGAAAGAGAAATTCACTGAGTATGTCCTAATATAAAGAAATTCTATAATGCTTGGGAAGTTATCTGAACTGAAAGCAACTCAAGTTATGGGAAGATACCAGAGTTAATCAAACAAGTTTCATATGTACTTGCCCTTTTGTTATACTTTTCCCTAATATCTGCTTATGGCTACTGTTGGACAGGCTTCTGGGCCAGAGGGACCTTTGGCCTTAGAGAATTAGTTTCATATTTTCTGAACATGCTTTACTTCTCTCTTTTCTCTCCTAGGCTTCTATCTGTGAAACAGTATTAACCAGTAAAGCATTTACAAGCTGTAATGCACTTGTGAATGTTCAGGATTACATTGAAACTTGCATACAAGACCTATGCCACTGCGATACCTCTATGGCTGACTTCTGCATGTGCAACACCTTTGCTGAATACTCCCGGCAGTGTGCTCATGCAGGTGGTCAGCCTCTGAATTGGAGAACCTCAGAACTGTGTCGTAAGTATCTCAGGAAGGGACTTTTACCTGTGCTTACTAGACATAGTATACTTCAAATATGTGATTTTTTTTTCCTGAAGAAGACAGCTGTTTAAAGATGCATGTAATTTTCATGAAATTGGTTTTAACTTGAGCATACTTAAGACTTCAGGAATATGCAAGCATAGAGGATTTTGCATTGGTAAGGTTTTTCAATATGTATCCAAACGTCTAAAATGTTGCAGCCTCTACTTCAATCAGGATTCCCAATTATATCTTGATAAAAGACATCCTAAATTGCAAATACCATTTTCTCAACATTTCAAAGGAAAAGTCAGTATTATGATATTTCTTCTGCTTTCAGCCAAATCATGTCCTTTCAACATGCAACACCACGAGTGTGGCTCCCCCTGCTCTGACACATGCAGCAACCCGGAACGATCTGCACTTTGTGAAGATCATTGTACAGATGGCTGTGTCTGTCCTCCAGGCAAGCTTATTTCCTGCCCTTTTCTCATAGCCAAAACTGCTAGAACACTTTCCTGTACCTGTTTAACTACTTCCCTACTCTGTATCATTCTCATCACATCATTATAGTTATTATCGTCAAAGTAATAACTAGATTTGTTCCTTGATATGCACCATTTCTATTCAGATTACTAAAAATGCCCTTTTAAACAATAAACATACCTGAGACATGTAGATAAGGACTGAACTGAGAATAAGACACTTTGCTCCTAACAATAATAAGAAGAACTCTATTCTCAGCATCCATATTCAGTTCACAGAAAGTATGTAATGTTTAATCACATTTTGCCCACAATGATAACTCCTGGTGTTAGCGAGCTGTGATTGGTTCTCTGATTCTCCAGATTACAAAACCCTTCCTGTCCCATATTGCATGTCTTAACAACAAGGAGCTGAGAGAGCACTAGTCGATGTGGTAAATCTGGTGCTTCAGAGAATTACACATGTGAACTGAATATCAGCACAAGACAAACAATGCAATTGTGTTCTCTTTGTGCACACTTACTTCTGGGGCTGAAATTGTTGCTGTTGTGAGTGACTGATGGTAGAATCTTCACCGCTTACAGCTCTTCTGCACATTCTCCATGATGTCTCACCGAATTCACCATTGCTTTTTTTGTGTAATATCCTTGACTTCTCTTAGATAACCCTCTGCCTTTGGGTATAAAAATATTTACAATATGAATATGTCCCTGGGCAGTCTTACAAATGATTCATCTATTTCACCTCATTATCTAGTAAATATAATCTTACTTCCAATCTAATGAAGTCCATAATAGAAAGGTATTTCCCTAGAAGTCTCTTTTGATCACCCTAAAATTTTAGATAGGGTTCAATAGCTCTTCAACCCCTACATAACTGGCATCCTATTATTTTAAAGTACTTTCTATCAATTTTCTGAGTAAAGCAGAAGAAATGGTATCTGCCAGATACGTGTACAAAAGCAGGTTCTGCAGTGCACAGAATGAGTAACAAACCACTTCTTTCCCTAGGAATGGTATTTGATGACATTAATGGTGCTGGCTGTATTCCCCGTAAAGAATGCCACTGTACCTATGAAGGTGAAACTTATGCTCCTGGTGCCTCCTTCTCATCTAAATGCAGATCATGGTAACATACTCCCTTTCTCATACTTCTTTTTCAGATGTATTACCTCAACACTTTGAAGACAGGGAAAAATAACTAATTTCCCCTCAAAAAGAAATGAGGAACTACTTATCAGCTGAATTACCTTGATTACACATTTTTAGAGGATGTTTCATCTCTGTTTTCTTCCACACTTAGAAGCAAAAATTTAAATTTAGATGTAGGTACTCCAATTTCAAGACCAATCAATTAAAGGAGACAATCAAATTCAAATACTGGAGGTGTTTAAAAATGTGAATTACTGTACGTCCTTTGCAGCGCTACAGTGTAACGCTAAGATACTAATGAAAATACTGTGGAGGAAATGACATTTAGCGACATGTTGCATTAGGCAGAATGGGAGATCATATTTGAGAGGCATGATTGACAGATATGATATACATTTTTTCAATATCACTATAATTACTGAAGTATTATTGCATAAGTTTACATAAATGCAGCTATCTATCTATGAATACAAGAACCACAAACATGCATGCTGTTTTCCAATAAATACTTAACAAGTTTGAAGCTTGAGCCTTGCTAATGGAGATGAAGGGCGATACTTCATATGTAGCAGAATGGATGCCAGGATCATCAGGACTGAATTATATCCAAAGATGAGATATGAACAGCAATATAAAAATTATCACTTATAAAATTGTGCCTACCCCAAACTTATTCTGAGATTTCAAAGCAATGTTCATTTATTTGACAGTATGATTAATGCTTCAAGAGGAAAATTAAGACATCAACTGCCCTTATTGTCTCTTATTTCATTTGTGTTTGTGTTACCCAAGATTACTGAATGCTTTCTTGATTTCAGTACCTGTGTTGGAGGTGAATGGTCTTGTGTGACCCAGTCATGCCTCGGGACTTGCAGCATTGAAGGAGGCTCCCACATTTCAACATTTGATGAGAAATATTATTCCTTCTTCGGAGACTGTAGCTACGTCCTAACCAAGGTAAAAATGAGCCACCATCCTTGCTAAAGCAATATGCTAAAGGAAAACATTGTTATTATATATAATTCTGTTTAATTAAAAATACTGGCAACCACATCAGCTTTCTGAAACTTAGAGGGTAAACATGGAGCCTTAAATGGATTTCAGGGGGCTTTCTGTTAGGGTAATACTAAATAAACATATTGTAGTAGTTTTGCATTCTTTGATCATTGTTTAAGAATTGCACTGAGTTTTTAGGTTCCATGAAGCAATCTACATGCTTCCCATTATTTTTTTAATTAAATATTGCCTGTCTGGTGTTTTATAATTACTTCTTTCCAAACAATGTGCTTATTATATCCATTGCTGCTGTCCTTTTGTGACAGTTAATATATTCATAATGCAATTATTATTATTCAGAATTCATGGGAGAGGATTTATTTCATTAAGATGATCAACCTTCCAAATAGTAAACATAGACTCTAGAGTTTAAAAGCAAAAAGCTAAAAAGTTAGACAAGTATTTTAAAACCTGAATTAGAAATTGATGACTTATAAAAATACTTACAATTTACTGGAGTTTTTAGATTAGTAGGGACTGAATTCTAAGTAGATATACCTGAAATAATGACTACAAATTTACAGATTTCAGAACCCTAGGTATTTTGGTGTTTATTTGTACTGGATGAGTTATTGAAACATTTTCATAAAGACTTCAGATTAAATAAAATCCGTTCTCAAAAATCTCAAACTGAATGTTACAGAGAAAGAGAACCATAAAAACTTAGAAATGAGCTAAAGTGAGGTAATTTAGAAATAGATTAAGCTAAATCAATTAAATGTTCTGATGAGATTCACAAGCTCAATTCACAATGGGAGCATAGATCTGACTTATAAGTTAAATTCCCCTTTTGGCACTAGCATATAAAATTAGATTCAGAGGTCTGGAGGTTCAGAAAACCCCTGAACATGGACACAAAGGGTCAAAAAGCCCAGAGTTCTAACATTAAATTTCCAGATGGCCGTATTCCGGATTTCAGCTGCCCTCAACTTAATCTTCATTATGCCAATAAAGTGATACGACACATTCAGAATCACAGCATTCTGTGTGTTTGCCTGTAACATTTTGGTCATTAGGTACACTCTGAATATAGCTCACAGAACGCAGTCCATTGAAAATCAGAACCAAGAGAAAAACTGAATTTTGTCTTTATTCAGTAGCTTAATGAATGCTTAATGCATTTCCTATCTGTTAAAAGTATGTCCGAATCACCAGGCTCTTTATTAATCTGTTCAGTACGGAAGAGAGTCAAATCAATTTGTCTTCACTCCCAGGTAAACACCATAATCAAGGGGCAAGAAAGGCACACTTCCTTCTTCTTTAGCGTTTTAAACTAGCATTACTTAAACATTAAGAAGTTTCAAAGTTCAGCTTAATATGCTTAAATTTCCCTTGAATGTCTGAAGTAATGGATAGCTTCCACTGTGCAGGCTGCATGAATGCCAGCTTATTTGGTGACTGTGTACTTATATGTAAGAACATACGAGCAGGGAGAAAAGGAATAAACCACATTTTAAAAGATTTACTTTACTAAAAATGCCATTTGAGTGTGAAACTTTTAAACTTAACTATTTTAACATAACAAATCCTTTTAACAATATATTTTGTTCTCTTCTTCTAGCTCTGTGACAGCAATGAATTCACTGTTCTGGGAGATATCCACAAGTGTGGCCTGACTGATACTGAGACATGCCTCAAGGGTGTAGCCGTCAGCCTAAGTGGAGGACAAACTGTAAGTAGCAAATGTAGACACCTAACATTCTGCAGGAATGTTTTCAAAGCTTAGTAGACAAGTAGTTTGCAAATGACACATAATAGCACAGATAGGAAATCTGCACTGATTTTTAAATTTTATTTCATTTGAACATTATTCAAAGAAAGACTAAGAATAAAGTAGGTACATTGACTGTCAAGATCCTCATAGTTTTGTCATTTAGTTTTATTTGGGCTTTTGCTTGTTTGTTTTGGCAGTCAATGAACAACAGTCATAAAGACTAAAGAAATAGTATAGGAATGAGAATATCATTACAGTGTCCCCCCACTTTTTTTTCCCCTTTATCCTGAACAATACTACATAGAAAACATTTGGAAAGTGTTTTGCCTTTTCTAAATATGCTTGACAATCCCTGTCTTTTCCTGGGGACAGAACATTGTGATCCAGCCTTCTGGCAGTGTATTTGTGAATATGATCTACACACAGCTGCCATTCTCTGCAGGTAAGCTCCCTTGGAAGAGTTCTGTGATGTTTCTAATTTTTTACTTTAAAATGTTATTACATTGGTTAATTGAAAGTCATATTCTACCTTTGGTTACACTACAGCAAACCCAAGTTACCCTAGTAGAGCATAGTCTCTCATTTTTAAAGTAATAGGGTTGCCCATTCAACTCTTAAAATTTTAGCAAAAATATGGTCTAATTTTAGCAATATCTAAATTCAAGATATTCAAGCAATTCAAGCAAATAGTATGATTGCACACTTCCAGATCCAAACAGTGCCATAAGAGAGGAAAGAAAAATTTCAATATGCAACAGTACTCCAATATTTCAAATTGTTTAGTTCCCTGCGTTCCCTCTGTCCTTTTGCTCAGTGCACATTCATCACTGGAGAGTTTCTCTCACGCTGGTTCTTCTCGGATACTACTCTACCCAAAGAGAAAGCAAACCATGAAAGGACAGAATAGGTCCAGGTTAGAGTCTACCACTAAATCATGCTATATGATTTTCATCAAGCAAAAGTGGTCTTTTAAATAGCAACAGAAGTGTTTGTTCTTCCCCTCATTTCAAAACACTTGAAAGAAAGCAGAGGTGTTTTATACATTTGTTGTTTAGGGAAAAGGCAGCTGTTTTGCTGCTGGATTTTAAATCCTAGAAGGATCATTTTCCCTCAGTTCTTCAGAAATTAGCATCATATCAAACATATCTGTAGAATCCCTCTATATGATGAACAGTCATTTCAACTGCTCATGTCATATGAAATTATAACTCTTATATTCTTATGACCCTAGCAAATGTCACCATCTTCAGACCATCATCTTTCTTCATCATTCTGCAAACAACTTTTGGTCTTCAGCTACAGGTTCAACTTGTGCCTGTCATGCAACTTTTTATAGACTTAGACCCATCACACAAAGGGCAGACCTGTGGTAAGTGATCTTACTGTAACAACTACCTTCATCAGTAGGCTTCATTCTGCAGGAGACTTTCACAGCCCATCTGCTTCTTTTTAGGTCTCTGTGGAAACTTCAATGACATGCAGACAGATGATTTCAAAACCACCAGTGGTGTAACAGAGGGTACTTCAGCTGCCTTTGGCAATACTTGGAAAACTAGGGCTGATTGTCCTAATGTCAAAAACACCTTTGAGAACCCGTGTTCTGTCAGCATACAAAATGGTAAGCTCAGTATATAGTAACCTCTTCTATTCTCTTCTAAGATGGAAAGAAGGAATAAACTGGTCAACCACCAAGCATTTATCCAAAATAACAGTGGACCATTTACACACATGCTAGTTTACTCAGTTGACACTAGAAGTCTTCAATTAATAAATAATAACTAGGATAATATTTTGGATCTTCAACAATATTCCTTTGGATAAAGAAAGCAAGTGCATTCCCCAACTTACTTAAGGGAAACTGGAACCATACAGTATATCAGGGATCCGTTCCTGGAAAGGGCTGATTGTCATCATCAAGAAAAAAGCTATACATAGACCCACTGAAGGTTGAACTAAGTGTGGTCCTTCCACTTTTAAACTGATAACGAGGCTTAAAATTCAGAGCTTCATAGCTCTCAGGCTCCATTTCAGCCAATGAAAATGTAATTTTTGAGCATTCACAAGCTACTCTTGTTTTCTGAGGTGAACTAGTGTATTTTTAATTCACAATGTGAACCTTCTTTTTCAAAATTCATCTAAGATATATTAAGAGCATTCAGTCTATGAAGAGTTCACATTTCTGTATAGAGGAAGAGAAAGACTGTTTTTTTCAGCAAACGCAGAGCTGAATTCTATTGTAAAGTTAAGTTTCTGCAGGAAGTAGAGTTACACTGAGACAAGAGTTTAGACAGTGAAGTGCAATCTTACTGTGTTTTTAATTCACAGACCAGTATGCTCAGCACTGGTGTGGAATGCTCTCCGATACCACAGGACCTTTTGCTGAATGTCACTCAACAGTGAATCCAGAAGTTTACCAGAAGGTATTTGGCTCTTAACTTTTCCCCATTTTAAAGAAAAAGACTCCGATTCCTGATACTAACACCGAGAAAATAGCTTGCCAATTGGGAGGAGATGCATTCATGACAGTTCTTTTCAAGCCAAGGGTTTGTTTTTATCTACATGACTTAATAATTACTGCTTTGTAAAGGTACCCTTTTTCTATTTCCAGGAGGATAAACTTACAGGTATATTCCTGCTGCCCATATTTTTAGGTACTAAACGCGCAAGCTAGGAACTTGGACTCCCTGAACTTCTTATCAAAGGAAAAAGCTGTCCCTTCTGAGATATAAGGAAAGCTTTAGTCAGAATATTAACTAGCACTGTGCCTAGTAGCTCTGAACTGCTCTCAGAAGGCTTCTGCATATATCCAAGACAAGGCAAGAAATGTGTGTAAGAAGCAACAAAGAGATTTAGATAAGATGTGATCAAAAATGTTCCAGGAATTCAAGGTGATGAAGCTCTGGAACAGACTGTGTGGGGACTTTACAAAGTCTCCCTGCTACTGGAAACGTGTAAGATTATGTTCAACAAACATCTTCTGGAATGATAACATTATAGTGACCTTGCCTGGCATAGCAACATATTAAATGAGTTCTTGTTTTCTTCACTCTGATGCAGAGAGCCCAAGCTCCTAAGCCCAAACCCTAGAAGTTGGGTGGCATCAAATACCCTCTACTTGTTCTAAGAAGCCTACCAACACCTGAAAAATTGAAACAGAACAAGAAAAAATAAAAATAGTTCAAAGCTGTGGCTCTGATTACTCACTCTCCTTACAAATAATCTTTATTGAAAGTGCTCGATGAAATCATCAACACTCACTTTAGCTCTAATGAACATGACACTCTAAAAAGTACAGAGCGCCATGGTTTTAATGTGACAATCTCATGATCATATGTCATCCTCTGTCCCTAGAACTGCATGTTTGACACATGCAACTGTGAGAAGAGTGAGGACTGCATGTGTGCTGCCCTTTCTAGCTATGTCAGAGCCTGTGCCGCTAAAGGAGTTCTCCTCACTGGATGGAGAAGCAAAGCTTGCAGTAAGTTCTATTTCCCTTTGCCTCCTGAACATGATCATTGAGAAGTCCTCACACAGTAGCTCTCAGGGATTCCCATAGCAAATTGTGTTAAAATATATTTTAAGTACAATTTGCAGAGGAATAGAATACCACAAAAGACAAGCAGTAGGCAGAGAAACATAAAAAAGAGATTTTGTTAGATTACTAGCTCAGAACCAGCAGAAGCAACATGGACCTCAATATCTTTGCAATAAGAATAAACTAAGTAGAGTGTTTCTTAATTTATTTTGACAAAAAATATAAAAGTAGCAATGAAGAAAAAAGACACTATGCATTAAAATAATTGAACTACTTTCTTTTTTTTAACCTGAACAAAATATTTGTATTCATGACACATTTATAGGGGAAAACTCTGCCCTAGCAGTACAAAATAATTACACTATCGAGGATATCAGTAAAGTACATGTACATACATTGCCATGTTTATCATATATACTTTATCTCAAACACTGCATTTATACCTATATAAATTCTTAAATGACCTGCAAATGTATCTCAACTTTTTACTCTCAAGCAAAATACACCACCTTGTGTCCGAAATCCTTGAAGTACACTTACAATGTCAATTCCTGCCAACCCACCTGCCGGTCTCTGAGTGAGCCTGATGTCACATGTAGTATCAAGTTTGTTCCAGTTGATGGCTGTACCTGCATAAATGGAACCTACATGGATGAAAGTGGCAAATGTGTGCCTGCTGCTAGCTGCCCTTGTTACTACAAAGGAATGCCTCTGTCTTCTGGAGAAGTTATTCATGATAATGGTGTTGTCTGGTAAGAGATTTGTAAACAAAGAAATGAGATTGGATATAGGCAATCATGAAACCACATATACATTATTCAATCTATTCCCATCAAATGCATTTCTCTCCCTAAGAATTTCAATACAAAAAATCACAGATCCTTAAAAATTGTTAGGGCTATTCATGTTTGGAAGATCATACTTAGACTACCACAGAAATTGAACAAACTATACTGTGGTGGGTTAGCCTTGGCTAACAGCAAAACTGCCACCCAGTCAGCCAGTCACTCATTCCCCACCACACATACTGTTCTTACCCGTGGCTGTAAAATACTTGTTCGCTGGTGAAAGGTACTTGATAATTCCATTAAAGATTATTCCCATTATGAATGGAATCTGAATTATTCTGGGGGACAGTTTTTATCTAGGCAAATGGACAAAGCAAACCTATATTTATATAGAATATACTTGTATTTTGGTCTGCTCGAATATAAAATATTTTTGAATAGTACAAACTATTCTGATAAAGGACACATTTTCACTGTTTTATCACAGTAATTTTTCATTATTTCAAATTCATTAGGAAATGAGGAAAAGCAAAAACTTATCCATTTGCTTTTTTTTATAATAGCACTTGCACCTATGGAAAGCTGAGCTGCATTGGAGAGAAACCTGAACCAGGTAACATATCACTTAAGGTTTTTTTAACTCTCTGTTTCCATTTTCACTCTTTTCAGTCCTATCTTTTTTTTTTTTTGGTCATAATGATGCAAATTGTACAAGTCTGAAATCAAACAAGAAAATGAACTGATGACTTGTGTGATGTAGCCGATATTTTGAAATATATAAAGAAACACTATCTTACATTTCAAATGGCTGACATAAGTTATAACCCTCTGCATTAACATGGGAAAAGAGTAGTTGGTCACTTCACTGAATGTGAGGAGAAAACTGACTACATTTTAAGTAAAATAAAAGTGCTAAAACAAAACAAAAAACCAAAGCAAAGCAAAGCAAACCATTATCTTTTTTCTTGGTTGGTTTTTTTTTCTGAAAGGAAGTTTTTCACAAAACTGACTAAACACTAATTTCCATGAGTAGTCCAAGCATAAATAAAAAAAAGCAGATGAGCATAACTTCAAAACATCATTCAGTTTCTCTTTCTGCTCAAATGCATTTTATTAAGGTACACATGCCTCAGACAGGATTATTTTAATTTTATTTTTCTTCAATTTGCATTAAGGAAACACAAAGATATAAGTACATGGCTGATCTCACCTTTCTCATGGCTTTTCTCCCTTTCAGTCTGCGTACCTCCCATGGTCTACATTGACTGTGGCAATACCACTGCAGATACGATAGGAGCGGGATGCCAGAAAAGCTGTCAGACTCTAGATATGGAATGCGTAAGTATAGATTCTTTATACCCAGTTGAAAGCATTTTGAACTATATCTCTTCTACAATTACCAGCTGCAGCTGGACTCTTCCATCAGGAAAATCTTTCAAGTCATGTTTTCTATGTCGTCCTTACAGTACAGAACCCAGTGTGTCTCTGGCTGTGTATGTCCTCATAACCAAGTGTCAGATGGCAAAGGTGGCTGTATAGCTCCGGAAGATTGTCCATGTGTTCACAATGGGAATTCCTACAGTCCAGGAGAATCAATCAGAGTTGGCTGTAACAACTGGTAAGGGCATATTGAAAAATATTATTGTCAAGCATCTGAAAAGGAATAGTTTAAGCTCTAGGTGAATTACAACAGTTCACTCTAGCAGTATCAAGATTTATAGTAAGGAATCCTACATAAGATGATCCGCTTAGTACCTAAAAAGCAAGCTCTACCTGTTTTTTATAATAGCACATAACACAGAAATTACAAGTGGTCAGAAGAACAATACAGTTTGGATGTTGTCATATTCACTCGAGTCAAGAAAGCTTTTTTCCTTTCAGGCAATCCCTACATTTTAATACATCCAACAAGATTTTGAAATGTGAAGGATTTAAAGTATTTTCTAACCAAAATTATTCATGACATCAGGAACTAACACAATCTTTGAGTAAATCCCAAAGTTTCTTGAGCTATGCTGCATTTCTGAGAATAAACAAATCTTGTTTTTCCGTTATAAGCTTACAGCATTTTAAAATCAGATTGACATACATGCAGGAACGTACATATATCTACATTGTGTGTATGGGGTTTTTTTTTACATTTGGAGTGCTTTTTGTCTTGTGTAGTACATGTAGAAACAGAAAATGGCACTGTTCCGAGGAACCTTGCCTGGAAACCTGTTCTGTTTACGGAGATGGGCATTACACCACCTTTGATGGCAAACGCTTTGATTTTGAAGGAGATTGTGAATATGTTCTGGTCCAGGTAACATAGTCTTTCCCAGATTTTTGGACTATCAAAGTACCCTTCATTTTACATATGGCCATGTAGCAAGTTAACACTGAATATCATTCCACTGTTTCAGAACTACTGTGGTCAACAAGGTATGAATCAGGGAACCTTCAGAGTCATCACTGAGAACATTCCATGTGGCACTACAGGAACCACCTGCTCTAAATCTATTAAAGTTTTCTTGGGGGTAAGTATTTGCTTTAATAAGTTGTATGCCAGGTCTAATGTGCCAGAAGGACACAACAAGCTGTCCCGGATAGACTGCATCATGAAAGTGTCCTCCAAGACAGTGAAAATGTTCTTTGCTCACTGCCAATGATTCTGCTCTCTGCAAGAGAAAGGAAAGAGGGAATTCTAAAGAGAAGTTGCTTAACATGAGTTTGTTGAACAGAACCATTTTTATGATAATAAAGTTATTATTTCCATAACAGTTACTGGCAATATATAAAACCATACCCAATAGATGACTTTTTTAATTGGCCTCTAACTTTTTCTTTTCCTGTCCTAGAACTATGAGTTGGTACTCAGTGATGGACACTCTGATGTCATCCAGAGGACACCTGGAGGAAAAATGCCATTCCAAATACGTTCCATGGGCATCTACCTGGTGGTTGACACTACTGTTGGCCTGATACTCATGTGGGACAAGAAAACCAGTATATTCATCAAACTTAGTCCCAGCTTTCAGGTAAATTTTAAAATCCAAAGCCTAGATAAAATTATTTCTGAAAGATATTCATGTTATCTGTCAAAGAAAAAAATGGAAATTTAGGCTGTAACCAGAAGACTGAAAGAGCAACGATTGCATATTACTATCCTTGTACCCTTGTTTACTAACATTGTGTACTACACATTTTCCCCAAAGTATGTTATTCAGGAATGGCATAACAGCAAGTACATCAATAGCTTTCTCTATGAAAAGCCCTCACTGATGAGGTATGTTCAGGACTAGATAAAACTAATTAGCTCAATACTAAAAACAAACCCCATTAATCTAGTCTGCTTCCTATCCTTATCCTTTCCAACAAGTTAGAGGCATCTCTTCATGAAAGGTATTTTATGAAAACGATCAGAGATACTGAGAAGCTGTACCTTACTGATCTTTGTCATTTTGTATTTATCTCCATGCAGGGACATGTCTGCGGACTTTGCGGAAACTATGATGGCAATGGAAACAATGACTTCACTACTCGCAGTCAGTCTGTGGTAGGAAATGTGCTGGAGTTTGCCAATAGCTGGAAAGTGTCTTCTAGTTGCCCAAATGCCAATCGTACCAAGGATCCATGTACTGCGAACCCATACAGAAAAGCCTGGGCACAGAAGCAATGCAGCATCATTACCAGTGAAGTGTTTGCAAAGTGTCACTCCCAGGTATGACAAAAACCTCTGTCTTAAATTCTCTTGAGCCAGAGATTACATTAATTTTTACGTGGGATAGCTGAAAAACAAACTAAAATACACTTTGCAATGCTTGAGAAAGTGAAGTCAGACCAATTTCCAGGAAGACTGCATAGGGAGTGTTTTCACTTCCATTTTCTCAGCTTGTGCCTTGAACTAGTATGCTAAAGAAATAGATAGTTGGGTTGGGTTTTTTTGATATAAAGGACAATGACGGATAAATCTCAGGATACTTTTATTTTCTAATGGCATCATTTTCTGCTAATATAAATATCAGCCACCTGATATATATGGCTGTGTGCTAGCTTGTACTAATGGAACAGTATTATTTTTGCAAATGTATTTTCAGCATGAAATAGTTCTTAGCATTATGACTTACTAGTAGTAGCTTTGTTATACATTTTCCTCTTGATTGTTCAAAGCATTCTCAGGTTTCTTCCTTTCTTATCTTTCTCACACATACAGAGTTGTCAGTTTCAGATATTTTATTCAGCTTTTTTAGGACAGTGAATGCCTTTTCAAAGAGGACAAATCCATGAAAACTCAAATGTTTTCTACAACAGGTTGAACCAAATGAATATTATCAAGCATGTGTGGATGATGCTTGTGCCTGTGACACTGGAGGAGACTGCGAATGTTTCTGTACAGCAGTAGCTGCCTATGCTCAAGCATGCAATGAGCTGGACATCTGCATTTCATGGAGAACCCCATCTATTTGTCGTGAGTCTCAACCTACTGCTTTTTGAAGGAGTCCAGAGGGAAAGAAAACAGAAGAAATAAGGAAAAACAAGTGGAATGATGACAGAAAGAAGGATAAAATTATATTTGTAGGAGACACTCTGTATTCTAAAAGCAGCAAAAAGACCCCACAAACACAGCTGGGCAAATCAGTGGAAACAAATTTATCTTCTTAAAATGAAACCACTGATAGTAACTTTACCAGTGGTGTCATTAGTATCTGATTTACTTGTCAATCACGATACACAACTGGTGAACTATAATATTAAGTTACTCTCTCACCTGTCTACATCAGGCTCAGTGTAAATAAATATTATTGCATAATAGCTAAAATCAGTGATTCAATTAATTGATTTTTCATGCTTAATGTGTAACTCTGTTCTATGCTTTATAACTTTATTGGTGTCAAAAACTGGTAGAAGTTTAACAATTGTATTAATTTAGAAGTAAGACAATATACTGTTCACGTCCTGTGTGATTATACTGATCACATGGGATTTTTACACAGCAAAACTGAAAGACTGTAGAGCAAAAAAGTCAAAGGTCTTTTTCTGTTGTTTCTTCTTCCTCTAGCTCTGTTCTGTGATTACTACAATCCACAAGGGGAATGTGAGTGGCACTACAAGCCATGTGGAGCCCCTTGTATGAAGACCTGCAATAATCCAAGCGGGAACTGTCTTCATGAGTTGAGGGGTTTGGAAGGTAAACATAATTATGCATGTCTCATTCTACTTATAAAAAGCTAAAATGCAAATTTATATTACTCAGTATATGACATGTTTGTATTAGAAATTATAAGAAGAGATTTTCTAACTAGTATCTTATTCCTTAATGGATCATGAACTTGTTTGGAGTGAAGATAAAGACAGAATGCTCCAAAGCTTAATGTGAAATCAAAGAAATAGCACTAACAGAGTCTGAAATTCAACTTACAAATGAGACAATTTTGGGAGAGCAGATAGATATAAGCAGACTACAGAGTTACTTCTACTTGTGAAAGGCTAGTGTCAAAATAACTCTCATTTTTCATTGCAGGCTGCTACCCACACTGTCCAAAGAATAAGCCCTATTTTGATGAAGAAACCATGACTTGTGTTTCTAATTGTGGTTGTTATGACAACGGAAAAAATTACAAACCAGGAATGCAGATGCCTTCAGAGCAGAACTGTCAATCATGGTAGGATTAGTAAAGATTTTTAAACATTGAGTTTAAAGTTGTGAAACATAATTCATTATGCATTAAGGTTTTTTGTCTGCCAACAGGAACTAGGCCAGTCACGGGCTGCTGAATGATGTCTAATTTTTCTATATTCCCAGGAACTTAAATGATGACATGGTGAAAAATTTTACCACAGAGAGATTAATTTAATATTATTTATTATTTATATATATTTTTTTTACTATTAATTATTCTGTATTCTTAATAAAGTACTTTTAAATTGTTAAATTAAGTAAAACCAAATTAAAATAGTAATATTTGTGGCGATAGTCTGAAAATTTTTAGTAGGATATCCCTAAAATCATTATGTGAAATTATTTAGAAGTTAGTACGCAACTAATCTGCGTAGTTTTGAGCTTGTTTCTGTTACTGCACTGTTACTTGCATATTTGTAACAGCAAGTATTCCCACACATTCTGACAGAATTGATGAGATTCTGGGACAAGTGCTCTAAGCCTTCTATCAAATAGCGCGACGTTAGTAGAACCAGTTATGAAGCAGTTAACACCTGTACCAAGATACCCTTATAGTAGCTACACTTGAATACTTTAAGCAGTGCACCCAGAGTGGCAAAGAGCTTAGCACGAAGCCCACCTAAGCTACCCTACCTTCATGGCATGTTTTGCAGTCCATAGACAGCTTTGCCTGCATCATCTGTGTCACTAACAGCACCAAACCTAACCTGTTAAATACATATCTATATTTACTTAAGTTTATTCACTGTACAGATGCCTTTAGTCACTGTAAATAAATGCAAGATTCAGTTCTTAACAGATAATAAATTCCCTTTAAAAACAGAATGCACTCTTGCATCTTTTGGAAGTCTGATGGAAGTTCTCTGTGTAGACAACATCAACACCTGTGATACAGTGATCTTTTCTCAAGTGATACATTTACTGCACTTTCCCTTCCAAAAAATAAGTGTACCTATCAGGGAGATAACATTTCAAATCACACCTCCCTACATAGTTGCCCAGCCTCCCAAAGCACCAAGAAGGATACTGCATATTTAGTATGCTGACAGAAAATTTGCCTTTCTTGACAGAAGACTGAGTGATCCTACCTAACCTGAATTTGTACAGCAGAACTGAGCAGAACTCAGAGAAGATAGGGTCTTTCTACATTTAAACACATAATGAATAACAAAGGATCAATAGCAAAAAAAAACAATATAGAGACAATAAGATGATATCATGAACCTATATATTGACATTCATCTTCTCCTTTTTTATCTTTTCAGTGAATGCACAAAGAATGGAAAAAAATGCAAATATGATGAATATGGTATGTTGACAAATTTCGTTTTATCTGAATAGGATGCACCTGAGGTACTCTGCTCTGTGTTTCAGGTACCAAGGAATAACGCTCTCTTTTGATTTACAGAATGTGTGTGCATTTATGAGGGACAGAAATACAACTATAAAGATGTGATCTACAATACTACAGATGGCACAGGAGGGTGCATTGTCGCAATCTGTGGTCCCAATGGAACACTTCAAAGGGTTGTCTATGAATGTCCAATCTCAACATCACCCACAACAGCAACCACGTTTCATTTCAGCACTACGCCACCTGCCACTACTTCCACAGGTACATCCTTCATAGGCCATAAAAGCGTGTTCTATTCATTAGTGAGTAAAATACAGCTACAACACCATGCCCACACTCACAACATAAATGAACTAATACATCTTCAAAACAGATGAGAGTAAGTCTCATTTGTTATTAGCATTTTGTTTCAGTCAGTATCTGGTAACCAAATAGATACAAGGAAATAAAAAGAGAAAATAAAAACACTTCTGAAACACCAAAATGGAAAGCACTGCACAGTGGTTTAATACTATTATTTTGCTTATCTTCATAGTGAATGATAAAAACCAGTATCAGACTTATTATCTGTAATTAGAACTATTGCTATACCAGGAATAATCTTTATTGAACAAAAAAGTCATTATTTTTCCTATTAAATTACAGAATTATTCTGTTCTGTAAAATTCCTGGTGGGATTCATGGTATTTATAATTACAGTACTAAGGGGATTGCTCAGATATTGGCAAAGAAATACTGAAATTTTTATTTCTAGAATTTCTGTTTAGCATTCTTCAGGCTGATAATCTCTAATTACTATGGGCACATGTTAAAATATAGAACTACAAGTTTTGAAATCGCAGAAACCTCCAGCACTGCTGGAATTCATTAGTCTTTTTCCAACCATTTCACAATGAGAATTCACCTAGAGAAGCTTATGGACTGTTCTCCAACCAGTGAATGATTTCAAGAGTGACAATGGTAGACAAGAGTGCAGAGGTGCTCATAATGCTGCATTAGATGCCTTTTACTTCAAACGGAGGAACAAAGACGATGCAGCATATTACACGAGGATTCAACTCATTTGGAAAAAAAAAAAAGTACTTATTAATCTTGATGCACAGATGAAATGTTATTCATTCCACTGGATTTGAATCTGGGCTTTGACATTCCAGAGGTATTAATAAATATGAAAACAAGATACAAACGAAGCAACAACACTAAATGAAATCTAAAAAAAAAAAAAAAGATATTTTTTTTCTTTTCCCCAATGCATATAAATTAAGCCCAAGACTTATTTTAGCACTTTGTAAAAGATAGCTGACATTCTCTTGGGAAGCGACAGTTCCAAGAACATCAGTACATCAAATTGCTGGGTGATGGATTTTCCGTGCTACTTCATATTAAATTATAAGTACACTAAACTGATGCACTACAGGCGCACAATGCAAGTAAATGACCTTAGCGAAATTTTCAGGCCATATAATATTATAAAAAATAGAATATCTACAGGAATTAATTTTAAGTTTCAAAGCCTCTTCTTTTTCTCTTTCACAGTGTCACCAACTACATCAGTATGTGTTCGTGAAGTCTGTGAGTGGTCAGAATGGTATGATGGGAGTCTGCAAACCCCTGGCTACGATGGTGGAGATTTTGAAACCTTTGATGATTTGAGAGCTAAAGGTTATGCAGTCTGTAAAGCTCCACGGGCTGTTCAATGCAGAGCAGAGAAATTTCCTGATATACCACTGAAGGACCTTGGCCAAAAAGTAGAATGCAGTACAACAGCTGGGCTTATATGTTACAACAGAGATCAAATTTCAACACTGTGCAACAATTATGAAATCAGAATTTTATGCTGTGTTTTTGTACCATGCTCTTCCACAACACATTTCAGTACATCAATACCGACCACAACAGCAGCTAAGAGCACAGAAACATCAAGTCAAACTGAAGAAACTACATCGTTTTCAACTACTATATCACCAGTTACTACAACTTACAAAACGACAATAGTCACACCTTCATCCACTCATGAAACAACCACTAGCACAACAGAAATGACACCTCCTGTCACAACTTCTCCTTCAACTCCTCTTTGCATTAAAGAAGAATGTTACTGGTCAAGGTGGTATGATGTAAGTTATCCAGGCTCTGGATACAATGATGGAGATTTCGATACAATTCAGAACATTGAAAATAACGGATACAAAGTCTGTGATAAGAGAAAGGCTGTAGAATGCAGAGCAGTAAGATTCCCAAATACACCATATCCCCTACTGGAGCAACACATAACATGTAATACAGAAGAAGGATTGATATGCTACAATAAAGACCAATTACCACCTATTTGCTATAACTATGAAATAAGATTTCAATGCTGTAGAAACATAACAGCACCATGCCACACAACAACAGCACCCCATACAACTACAGAAGAAACAAAAACAACCCGAATTTTCTCTACAACTCTAAGTACATCATCCACGGAAGTAACATCAACACCTGGCTTACAAACAAAGCATGAGACAACTACAGAATCAACAACTCCACCAAAAACAGACTATATACAAAGCAGAATTACATCACAATCAACAACACACAAACAAAAAGAAATAACGACCACAACATTCTCAAGCCCCACGACGACACCTCCCTCATCCTACCCCGTTGAGAGCTACACCACCACCACCACCACATCCACTACCACCTGTGAACCCGAAGTGTGCGCCTGGAGTGAATGGTTCGACGTCGACTTCCCCTCCTCGGGGCCCAACCAGGGAGACTTTGAAACCTACCAGCACATCCGGGCCGCCGGCAAGCAAGTCTGCCAACATCCAAAGGAAATCGAGTGCCAGGCGGAGGACTACCCCGACGTCGCCATCCAACAGGTCGGGCAGGTCGTGCAGTGCGACGTCCACTTTGGACTGGTGTGCAAGAACGAAGAGCAGACTGGCAAATTTAAGATGTGCCTCAACTACAAGATCCGCGTCCTCTGCTGCACACCTAACTACAATTGCCACACCGCCACATCCTTGCCCACCACCAGACCCACCGTCACCACCGTCCACGGGTCAGCCACCACCACCCCAACCTCCACCACTGTAACCACCTCCACCTCCACCACGCAGCCCACCTCCTCTGAAACCACAGCGCAAACCTCCACCACCACCATCACCCCCACTACGACACCTCCCCCATCCTACCCCGTTGAGAGCTACACCACCACCACCACCACATCCACTACCACCTGTGAACCCGAAGTGTGCGCCTGGAGTGAATGGTTCGACGTCGACTTCCCCTCCTCGGGGCCCAACCAGGGAGACTTTGAAACCTACCAGCACATCCGGGCCGCCGGCAAGCAAGTCTGCCAACATCCAAAGGAAATCGAGTGCCAGGCGGAGGACTACCCCGACGTCGCCATCCAACAGGTCGGGCAGGTCGTGCAGTGCGACGTCCACTTTGGACTGGTGTGCAAGAACGAAGAGCAGACTGGCAAATTTAAGATGTGCCTCAACTACAAGATCCGCGTCCTCTGCTGCACACCTAACTACAATTGCCACACCGCCACATCCTTGCCCACCACCAGACCCACCGTCACCCCCTTCCGCGGGTCAGCCACCACCACCCCAACCTCCACCACTGTAACCACCTCCACCTCCACCACGCAGCCCACCTCCTCTGAAACCACAGCGCAAACCTCCACCACCACCATCACCCCCACTACGACACCTCCCCCATCCTACCCCGTTGAGAGCTACACCACCACCACCACCACATCCACTACCACCTGTGAACCCGAAGTGTGCGCCTGGAGTGAATGGTTCGACGTCGACTTCCCCTCCTCGGGGCCCAACCAGGGAGACTTTGAAACCTACCAGCACATCCGGGCCGCCGGCAAGCAAGTCTGCCAACATCCAAAGGAAATCGAGTGCCAGGCGGAGGACTACCCCGACGTCGCCATCCAACAGGTCGGGCAGGTCGTGCAGTGCGACGTCCACTTTGGACTGGTGTGCAAGAACGAAGAGCAGACTGGCAAATTTAAGATGTGCCTCAACTACAAGATCCGCGTCCTCTGCTGCACACCTAACTACAATTGCCACACCGCCACATCCTTGCCCACCACCAGACCCACCGTCACCCCCTTCCGCGGGTCAGCCACCACCACCCCAACCTCCACCACTGTAACCACCTCCACCTCCACCACGCAGCCCACCTCCTCTGAAACCACAGCGCAAACCTCCACCACCACCATCACCCCCACTACGACACCTCCCCCATCCTACCCCGTTGAGAGCTACACCACCACCACCACCACATCCACTACCACCTGTGAACCCGAAGTGTGCGCCTGGAGTGAATGGTTCGACGTCGACTTCCCCTCCTCGGGGCCCAACCAGGGAGACTTTGAAACCTACCAGCACATCCGGGCCGCCGGCAAGCAAGTCTGCCAACATCCAAAGGAAATCGAGTGCCAGGCGGAGGACTACCCCGACGTCGCCATCCAACAGGTCGGGCAGGTCGTGCAGTGCGACGTCCACTTTGGACTGGTGTGCAAGAACGAAGAGCAGACTGGCAAATTTAAGATGTGCCTCAACTACAAGATCCGCGTCCTCTGCTGCACACCTAACTACAATTGCCACACCGCCACATCCTTGCCCACCACCAGACCCACCGTCACCCCCTTCCGCGGGTCAGCCACCACCACCCCAACCTCCACCACTGTAACCACCTCCACCTCCACCACGCAGCCCACCTCCTCTGAAACCACAGCGCAAACCTCCACCACCACCATCACCCCCACTACGACACCTCCCCCATCCTACCCCGTTGAGAGCTACACCACCACCACCACCACATCCACTACCACCTGTGAACCCGAAGTGTGCGCCTGGAGTGAATGGTTCGACGTCGACTTCCCCTCCTCGGGGCCCAACCAGGGAGACTTTGAAACCTACCAGCACATCCGGGCCGCCGGCAAGCAAGTCTGCCAACATCCAAAGGAAATCGAGTGCCAGGCGGAGGACTACCCCGACGTCGCCATCCAACAGGTCGGGCAGGTCGTGCAGTGCGACGTCCACTTTGGACTGGTGTGCAAGAACGAAGAGCAGACTGGCAAATTTAAGATGTGCCTCAACTACAAGATCCGCGTCCTCTGCTGCACACCTAACTACAATTGCCACACCGCCACATCCTTGCCCACCACCAGACCCACCGTCACCCCCTTCCGCGGGTCAGCCACCACCACCCCAACCTCCACCACTGTAACCACCTCCACCTCCACCACGCAGCCCACCTCCTCTGAAACCACAGCGCAAACCTCCACCACCACCATCACCCCCACTACGACACCTCCCCCATCCTACCCCGTTGAGAGCTACACCACCACCACCACCACATCCACTACCACCTGTGAACCCGAAGTGTGCGCCTGGAGTGAATGGTTCGACGTCGACTTCCCCTCCTCGGGGCCCAACCAGGGAGACTTTGAAACCTACCAGCACATCCGGGCCGCCGGCAAGCAAGTCTGCCAACATCCAAAGGAAATCGAGTGCCAGGCGGAGGACTACCCCGACGTCGCCATCCAACAGGTCGGGCAGGTCGTGCAGTGCGACGTCCACTTTGGACTGGTGTGCAAGAACGAAGAGCAGACTGGCAAATTTAAGATGTGCCTCAACTACAAGATCCGCGTCCTCTGCTGCACACCTAACTACAATTGCCACACCGCCACATCCTTGCCCACCACCAGACCCACCGTCACCCCCTTCCGCGGGTCAGCCACCACCACCCCAACCTCCACCACTGTAACCACCTCCACCTCCACCACGCAGCCCACCTCCTCTGAAACCACAGCGCAAACCTCCACCACCACCATCACCCCCACTACGACACCTCCCCCATCCTACCCCGTTGAGAGCTACACCACCACCACCACCACATCCACTACCACCTGTGAACCCGAAGTGTGCGCCTGGAGTGAATGGTTCGACGTCGACTTCCCCTCCTCGGGGCCCAACCAGGGAGACTTTGAAACCTACCAGCACATCCGGGCCGCCGGCAAGCAAGTCTGCCAACATCCAAAGGAAATCGAGTGCCAGGCGGAGGACTACCCCGACGTCGCCATCCAACAGGTCGGGCAGGTCGTGCAGTGCGACGTCCACTTTGGACTGGTGTGCAAGAACGAAGAGCAGACTGGCAAATTTAAGATGTGCCTCAACTACAAGATCCGCGTCCTCTGCTGCACACCTAACTACAATTGCCACACCGCCACATCCTTGCCCACCACCAGACCCACCGTCACCCCCTTCCGCGGGTCAGCCACCACCACCCCAACCTCCACCACTGTAACCACCTCCACCTCCACCACGCAGCCCACCTCCTCTGAAACCACAGCGCAAACCTCCACCACCACCATCACCCCCACTACGACACCTCCCCCATCCTACCCCGTTGAGAGCTACACCAACACCACCACCACATCCACTACCACCTGTGAACCCGAAGTGTGCTCCTGGAGTGAATGGTTCGACGTCGACTTCCCCTCCTCGGGGCCCAACCAGGGAGACTTTGAAACCTACCAGCACATCCGGGCCGCCGGCAAGCAAGTCTGCCAACATCCAAAGGAAATCGAGTGCCAGGCGGAGGACTACCCCGACGTCGCCATCCAACAGGTCGGGCAGGTCGTGCAGTGCGACGTCCACTTTGGACTGGTGTGCAAGAACGAAGAGCAGACTGGCAAATTTAAGATGTGCCTCAACTACAAGATCCGCGTCCTCTGCTGCACACCTAACTACAATTGCCACACCGCCACATCCTTGCCCACCACCAGACCCACCGTCACCCCCTTCCGCGGGTCAGCCACCACCACCCCAACCTCCACCACTGTAACCACCTCCACCTCCACCACGCAGCCCACCTCCTCTGAAACCACAGCGCAAACCTCCACCACCACCATCACCCCCACTACGACACCTCCCCCATCCTACCCCGTTGAGAGCTACACCACCACCACATCCACTACCACCTGTGAACCCGAAGTGTGCGCCTGGAGTGAATGGTTCGACGTCGACTTCCCCTCCTCGGGGCCCAACCAGGGAGACTTTGAAACCTACCAGCACATCCGGGCCGCCGGCAAGCAAGTCTGCCAACATCCAAAGGAAATCGAGTGCCAGGCGGAGGACTACCCCGACGTCGCCATCCAACAGGTCGGGCAGGTCGTGCAGTGCGACGTCCACTTTGGACTGGTGTGCAAGAACGAAGAGCAGACTGGCAAATTTAAGATGTGCCTCAACTACAAGATCCGCGTCCTCTGCTGCACACCTAACTACAATTGCCACACCACCACATCCTTGCCCACCACCAACCTTACCACTACTACCACACCTACAGTATGCTGCACCACCACTTCTTCTACCCCTGTCTTAACACCTTGTTTCTGCAGAATTGGGGATGATATTTTTTCACCTGGTTAGTTAATATTTTTTATCATTTATTGTATGTTTTATTTAATGCTTTATTTTCATCACATTTTCCTGATTCTTATTTAATATATTTCCCAGTTTCTCTTTGAATTTTTTTCTACCTAATATGTTTTGGTCTTTTTTCTTTGTTTCCTCTTTTGTATGTTACTCAGTTTTCTTTTTTTTTTCAGGTGACTTGATTTACAACAGAATGGATAGTGATGGATGTAGATTTTATGCCATCTGTAGTCCAACATGTACAGTTGAACGACACACTGCATATTGTAACATCACTACTCCTCTAACCACTAGTTCCCCTGAATGGTCCACCACAACAACCTCAGTGCCTGTTCCTACCACTTCTCAAAGAATTCCATTTCCTGGTTGTGTATCTTCTACTTACCCTCCCCTACAAGTACGTAGTTTCTTTGTTGTGTTTTGTTATGATTACTAACATCAATAGTAAGTTGACACCAGAAATAAAAATGTTGCAGCCTTTAGACTTTCTATGTTCAGGTCACCAGTGTACTCATTACTGGTGATGAGCAACTATCATGTCATAACATTTTTATGTCCTTCTTTATAAATTTTTTTTCATACTGAGTAAGCAAGCCAAAATAATATTTTCTAATTACTTTATTTCTAGTTAAACACTTTCTGATGCAGTACACTGCATAAATAACAAACCTTTTTAGTGTATTAATAGAGGAAGTTTTCTTGTGCATTTTTTTCCTTCAGTAAACAGAAAAATTTGAGCTGTTGTCTGACTTTTATCTGTTTCTCTTCTCCTGCTTTCTTACCAGTACTTCTGTGCACACCTTTTTTTTTCTGTACACATTTTCTTTTTTTCTGTACACATTTTCTTTTTTGATAGTGGTGGTCTGTCCTGACAATGAAGTACAGTATACATTGGTAGTGTAAAGAACATTAGTTCTCTTAACCCAAGATCTATCTCCCTAAACTCCAGAAGAGCTCCTCATGAAGAAGAGACAGCTGAAATTAAGGTTCCCACCTCCTTTTAGCATCAAAAAATCAATTGCATAGAATATTGACAACCTTGTCCTACCAGTGAACATTTTCATTTTAGTCTTTGCTTTAAATTTGGAAAAGAAAACTCTTTCTGATCCTCCATATCAGGGTCAGAATTATGAATACCTCTGGTCAACATTGCAAATCATTAGTTCCAAAACTGAAGAGAAGTAATTATTAATTTCCTTTCCAACGTCACCATTTCTGGAAAGAATACACCAGCAAATTAGAAATTTGAGTAAATGTCATATCTGGTTGCAAACTCCTGTGACAGCAATTTTTGTTAATTTTTCAGATTGGACAAAGATACAAACTAACCAACTGTACAGAACTCATCTGTAAGGGAGACAACAAGGTAGAAGTAATTCCAACGCACTGCCCACCTGTAAAGGAAATCACTTGTGCAAACAAATACCCGGCAATACTGGTACCTGATGAAAACGGCTGCTGTTACCATTATGAGTGTCAATGTAAGCACCAGTAGATTAAGGAATAACCTCTTTTTGAAAAATGCAAAACTTTTCACAGATTATATGGGCATTTTGTTTTCTTAGTGTTGCTCTATTAATTGTATTAATTAACTTCAGTTTCTAAATTCTTTCTTCTACATTAATTTTCTTGTTAATCTCTTTAAATATTTTATCTCTACCAGGTGTGTGCAGTGGATGGGGTGATCCTCATTATATTACTTTTGATGGAACCTACTATACTTTCCTTGAAAACTGCACTTACGTTCTGGTGAAACAGATTGTACCGAAATATGACAACTTCCGTGTTTACATTGACAATTATTACTGCGATGCAAAAGATGGACTTTCCTGCCCTAAATCCATTATTATTTTCTACAAATCCGCAGAAGTGGTGCTGACCCGTCAACTCATGAATGGTGTTATGACCAATGTGGTAAATTACAGTTTTTTATTTCTGTATTTTTTCAGAAAAGAAATAAGGTTCATAGGTCTTAGTGATTCTTATTTGAAATACAGTCTATTAGAATATCCTGTCATAGAGGCGATGACAGAAGAGGGTATCATTAGGACAAAAAAAAAGATTACACTGGTTTCTAAGAGCAAAACCTCAGGAACAGCTTAGCACTATGCAGATGTGAATATATTATGTGCATGTATAAGTATATGTAACTAACATAAAGAAACAGACTAATACAGCTGATAGAGACATAAGAGAGAAAAAATGTTTATGTTGGTGCTTGATTCATGTTTCATGAAAATTAGTACATTGTGCCATTCACTTATGTAAAAAAGACATTATGAAGAAACATGAATGCGTATCACAAGCATGATTCTTCTCTCACGGTGAAGATGGGTATGTGTCCCTTACCAGCTGGATGACTAGGCACTGCTTCCTCTGCATAAGGAACTGTAGGCACCAGAGCCATGACATGCTTCCCCCTCCAATTGCTTGCTGAGAAGGGACATATAGTTGAAGAAAAGGGATAACTGGAACTATCACTTCACCTTCACGATCCTACACTACTGCTGGCAAGTCAGTGAAAATGAGAAGTCAGTCCTGCTGTTACACTAGGGAATTTATTAGTTGATTAGAGAACACAAAGAGGTAGGAGGAAAAGTTTGCGCCAATATGCACTGTCCCCCTACAGAGCTATGCCAAGTTTCTTCTACAGTCAGAAAGGTATGCTGAAACAGTTATTCTAGTGAAAGAAATTCCTGTGAAGGAAAACAATAACTGACAGTTTTAACTCTTACTTTATCCCAATTCAATGAGAAGAAAGTTGCAGAATAATTCCTGACAAAAAGTTACTAAGCAAGTATGCTCACCTTCATTAGCTTGTATCAGACACAGGCTGCAAACGGAACAGCTTAGATTAACAAATAAATGACTGTTATGTTAAAATTGGCACCAGGGAAATTTTGCTTCATTTTGAGTTCAGATAACTATTCCAATGCCAAGCAACATGTAGTATAGGGACAGCGTGACTTTGCAGCAAAGTTATTACATAATAATGGCAGAAATATTTCTGGAGTTAAAGAAAACTACCGGTCATTTTCCTATGAAAAACGTTTACAATAAATGAAATGATGAGGGTTACAAAGAAAATGCTTGGATTTAGAATGCTGTGCATTACCACACAATATGCACAAACACAGTATATAGAGGCCACTTAGATTATTATCACACTGTAGCAATATAGCAGTACAAGCGGAGATATGAATACATATATATGCTGGTATTACAATGCCAATGGGTGTTGGATGTGATGCACAACAATATAGTGTTATGCATGATTATGAAGATTATAAAACACATTATTTAAAACAATCAGCCAGAAGCAGTGCTCATTTTGAAGTTGTGCTTTTTTTAACCCTGCATTCAGATGTATTTCAACAAAAAGATTGTCAAACCAGGCTTCAAAAAAGATGGCATTTCTTTCTCCACACTTGGCATCAACATGATTGTTGAAATACCAGAGATTGGTGCAACCATCACCTTTAGTGGGCTGATTTTCTCCGTGAAACTCCCATACAGCAAATTTGGCAACAACACCGAAGGACAGTGTGGTAAGACAGATGCACTCACTGGAGGTGGGACTCTTTCCCCACCCTGCTGTGGTTATTCTCACCCACTCTGGCTATGCAGTCTCATTATTGACAGAAATTTTTAAAGAGCGGTAAAATGGAAATGAAAACAGTTCTGCTTGTCAACTTCTGTAGGATCAAGAGCTCAATATTTCTGGTTGGTTTTATTTTCTTTGGGGTTGGGGTTTTAGGTTCGTGTGTTTTTCCCTAACCTAAATTAAAGTTAATGTAACTGTAAAGAAAGAACTCCCTATGAAGCAAGGCATCTTATACATTTCACAAGTACATCATATCTAAACGTGGTATCAGCACTATCACATACTGTACATCTCTGATGGGGCTTATGAGACTTACATAGCTTGTCTCTTCCAGGAACATGTACGAATAACAAATTAGATGAATGCCGCTTACCAAGTGGTAAGATCATTTCTTCCTGTCCCCAAATGGCTCATCACTGGATTGTTGATAACAACAAGTCATGCCATGGAGTACCAGTACCACCAGTTGTAACAACACCTTCACCAAAGCCTCACTGTGAAACACCTCAACTCTGCAAGCTTATCTGGAGCGAGTAAGAAAAAAAATGAATTCACTCTTTCTAGACAAAACTATCTCAGTATCTTGCAAGAAGAGTAAGAACAATAGCCCTAGCATGTGATAATAGTTGAAAACGTCAGTCAGCTTAACTACAGGATATATACAGTAAAAGCCTTTGCAAAAGAAACCACTCTTCTTTAATGCGTTGCATGCCAAAGATAACTGAGCAAGGAGAGATGGAGTCAGAAAATCAGGGATGCAGCAAGCACTAAAATCCATAGATGCTGGGCTGCAACCACACATTTTTCTCCCACTCTACCTTCCAGAGTATTCCCACCCACTCTTAGTTGGACTATTATGTAAAGACTGAACTCTAAGTTTGAAGGGAGCCTTCAGGACAAACCGTAAAGTACCTGGTTACTAACCAGGTTAACAAAGCAGACAGAAACATCTCAGCCAAAAAGCATCCTTCATTCTTTGTAAATTTTGTGTAAAACATGGAACTCCAAAAGCACAAAGACTTGTTTCCTGCATTATTTCCTGTACTTGTGTGAGCTATGACAAAAGCTTTTTTTGCAACTGAGTCACTTACAGAGGCTTCTTACACATGCTTGCTGTAGTGTCTAATAAGTTATGAGCTATTGTATGTGCCATTTTTCTATTTCTTGTCTACTTCTATCATCCCTTTTTCCTCAATCTGATGCAGTTGCCTTTTTCATGAAATTTCTGGTGTCATCTGAAGAAAACTTGTGTATACATGCAGAAACACTACGACCATTAGCCCGTTTAGAGGGGAAAGAAAAAAAATGGAGCTTCAAATTTCCTAAACTTTCATTTCCTGAATCTAATTCTCAGATTATTGGCCATTCTTAGGGTTTTGTTTCTCATAAGACACTCCTTCCTGAAGCAGAGTCTCACATGCCATTAACTGGGAGTGATGGATTTTATATAATGACTAGTTAACAGAAAAGATCTTTGGCTTCTTCTCTGTCTACAGGATTTTTGCAGAATGCCATGCCGTGATACCACCAGAACCATTTTTCAAAGGCTGTGTTTTTGATGGGTGTCGCATAGCTGATGAATCTATGCAGTGTTCCAGTTTGGAGATATATGCTACAGAGTGTGCTTCCAGAGGTGTCTGCATTGACTGGAGAGGAAAGACCAACAATACATGCCGTAAGCATTGCAGAACTTAAAAATGTGTGTGAGAAAGGGTAGCAATTAGTGTTTTATTCAGTAAACACATCTTACTTCTAACACTTGACTACTGTCTACAAAAACACAGTGACATCACAGAAGCTGCATAGGAAGAAGGCAAAACTGGAGTCACTTTTGCTGTAAAAGTGTATCTACTGTCAATTTTTGATCTTTTTTCTTCTTTTTCATACAGCGTACAACTGTGCAGCAAACATGGTATACAAACCATGTGGGCCTATTAATCCTGCTTCCTGTGACCCAAGGTATGGAAAGACAAAAAAACCCACTCCAAAACAACTGCTTATATTTTCCTCTTTTTTCCCTTTTTTACCTATCTGCTTTCCTTAGAAAATGGAGTAACTTCATAATTAAATGCCTTTAGAATTTGGATAATTTATTCAATATTTATATATATCAATCAGCTCTATGAATATGCACTTCCTTTTGAACTTTCTTTTGTCTCCCTTGTATTGGACATGGCAACCTGCAACATATGATGATATCTCTCTCTCTTGCTTCACTGCAAAAACATTGTACTCAAATACATACATTCCTTCCACTCTAGCTTTGTTGAGCTTCCTGGCTATGGAGTAACTGAAGGATGTTTCTGTCCTGAAGGAAAGACACTCATGAGTGGAAACAGCAACATTTGTGTTTCTGAATGCTGTAAGTAATCTGTAGCAAGTTTGGGGTATAAATAGACATCAGGATTGACAGTCAGGAGGCCTGTGTTCTACTGCCCTCTTATACATGGTCAGATCATGGACGAATCTACCTCTTTAAGCTCCTTTAAACTCCCCATCTAAAAATCAAATAACAATCAGTACTACTTTTCTTCCTTCCTTACATGAGACTTAACAAGATGGTAGAATTCTACATTTCAGAAAAACTGGACTGCATATTCATTTGCTAGTTACTTTTATCTTCACAGTATTTCTATTTGAAATTGCATAAATTTACTCCTTTATGTCAGTTTTCAAGTGGTGTAGATCTTGATTTTATTTTTTTTTTTCTTACCAGCTTGTAGGGAACCAAATGGACTGTCCAGATCGGTGAGTATCACAGTCAATGTGGTTTATCAAATACAGACAAGTGAAGCAAGGGGATATTTAGTGTTTCACAAAAGCAAAGTTTTGCTGAGGTTGGAGGAGACTTTTGGATTTTTCCAAAAGTTCATTTCATTTTAGTCTTAAAAATAATGATGAGTGCCAGAGCAGAAAACACATTGCTCGCTAAGAAACGTAACAGTAAGTGATGGGATAGTCTAATCATCACCTCACATACTGAAAAAAAAAACAAACAAAAAAGAGAAAGAAAACAAAAAGAGATAGACAGTAGTAATGGAACTTTGGCATATGTACTTTTTTATTCCCACAAATTTGGCTCACTAAAGTTACTAGAGATGAGGGCACAGACAGAAAACAAAGTTTACCTGTTGCTGATAGCATTGATAGTCTGCATTCTTAGTTCCTCAGCTGCATACAAATTAGTGACATTTCTCTCTGTAACCCAATGTGCAAGTGAGTATATCGTATGATAGTTTCTTATCCAAAAATGCATGCAATGCTCAATCACTTCTCCTTTAGATCTCTTGTATCCCTCATATTAACACTACTAATAAATATAAAGTTATAGCTGTGTGAACATGCTCAGAACCTATCTTCCCCTAATTAGCTTCAGTTTGAGGGTTTCTTATAAAATCTAAAATTACTAGAAATGTAAAAAGGCTGATATAATCAGGTGTCACTGTATCCATGAATAAGTCAGCTAGAAACAAATAGAATTATTTTGGTTTAAATTGCTATATAATTTTTTTCTTATTTTATTTTTACTTTTTGTATAGCCAGGAGAAAAATGGACAAGAGACTGCCAGGAATGTGTCTGTGACAAAAACACTCTTAAAGTGCACTGTACAAAACACAAATGTTCTTTGACACAGCAACTATTTTGTGACGAACCAGGTTACATGCCTGTTCAGATACAGATACCAGAAGATCCATGCTGTACCAGGACTGAGTGCTGTAAGTACTGTCTTAGTTCTTTAACATGGGGAATAGACTGTATTTATTTTGTGGAACTACAGCAAGTATTTTTTTAATACTTTGCATTAATTTCATAATGTTGTTCTCCCTCATCCCACTTCCTAGGATCTTCTTGCAGAGCATTTACTAGATGCATGAAGAGAAATAAGTTCAAGATATTTCACGTAGTTAGACACTGAAAAGTAAATATAACTTAACACTGAAAAACTTTAATGCTGCTACCATCTGAAACAATATTAAACAAATATTCAAAGCATTTTCTGTTTCAAAGACCAGCATAAAAATATATCTTAACTTAAAAAAAGTCTTGAACATTTAAAAATTGCTCAGGAAAGTTCCCAAACCCCTGAAAGTCATCAGATTTCCCAGTTGGCACAAATTTCTCTTTGGAAGTATGTCTTTCCAGCAATCACCACTCTATTCTTCTCAGACAATGCTTTGTTTTACAAAGGTTATAGAAAAGCCCATTCACTTTAAAATAGCTGGGCAAATATACTGAATTAGTAATTAAACTAGCTTGTGTAAACAACACTATATTTGCCCCATGGGAAAACTTCTGAAGTTCATGCAAAACAAAATTACTTTCATTTAAAAATTCTGAGTTCTTTATTTTCTATACTCTCTTGCATTACATAGACTGCAACACTAGCCTCTGCCCTGAGGTCACACCCCAGTGCTTAGAAGGACAGGAAGTAGTCACAACAATGCAGCCTGGCAAATGCTGTCCTACCTTTGAATGCAGTAAGTACTATGCACCTTCATATGTTATTCACAGCTATATTTCTCTGAGTTTATGAATACAGAAAACTTAAAAGAGAAATATGCAAATTATCTGTGTTATCATACTGGGCCAACAAAGCAGTAGTTTCTTCATGTATTTGTGCTTCTTAAAACTTACTCCTCTATGACATCATCTTTCTTCCTTCTTTACAGGACGTGGCTGTGTAGTCAATGAAACCTACTATGCAGTAAGTACACACAATAATACCCTATAAAAATACACCACATAGGTTCACAATGCAATATTTTTGAGAATCCTATCATGGATCATGTTTTGCAGAAAGGCCTGAGATAAAACCTATTTAATTGAGGTCAGCATATAACACCCTTGCTCCAAGCAAAAGCGTTTTCTGCTTTCCTTTCTGCATTAGCAAAATTTAATTCCAAAATTAATATTACCAACAGAAACTCTGCTTAAATAAAACAATCAAAATTGTATTTAAGGATAATTTAGCCCATACATCATTCAGCTTTGTGTAGTCTGTGACACACGTAAACAAAGTAACTTGCTTTTACTGACTAATAATGACTTTTTTTCCTGACTTCCCCTAGCCTGGAGGTGTCGTTCCATCAGGCCCCTGTGAAGAATGCACCTGCTCTGAATCCTTTTACCCAAGCCCTCATCACACCACTGTCAAGTGCAAGCCTGTTATTTGTGACACATACTGCCCAGTGGTGAGTGATATTTTGTTGTCAGTAATTCATCCACCCACTCTGCTCAAATATCCACCAGTTCACGTCAGTGTTCTGACTTAATGTCATTTCCTCTCTATTTCTTTCAAAACAGGGTTATAAGTATACAAAGATACCTGGACAGTGCTGCGGCACGTGCAAGGCAGCGGCGTGTATAGTAACCGTGGGAGACAACATTACACGCATGATCCAAGTAACTATCCCTGTTTTAGTTCACTTTTGGTGAACTCTGCTAGTCTTTTTACTCTTTCCTTTTCCTGTCTTTGTCATGTTTCTTTGCTGCATCTTTTCTCATGTTAAACAAATGCTTGCTCAAGCAGAGAACTCTCTCACACACCTTGAACAATACTTTGAGCCATGAAACTCCAGTTCTAACAAAGACTTCTGGAAGCAACTGTGCATTGAACAATGGCTTTCAGAATTCAATGTACAAAAATACATAGGTCAAAGCAATGGGCCCTTATTTGCCTTCAGCTCTGAAAATAGAGCAGCCAGTTTGTTCAAAGGATAATTTTATCTGTGGAGGTAGATTTCTGCTCCAAACAGTCCGTCTCAAATTAGCTTAGAGCTTAGGACAGGATGAGTCAGTGAAGCCAGCAAAAATTCTGACATGTATGTGAATGGACATACTCATAAATTGACATGAAAATGACAAAATCAGTGAAACACAAGGTACTGTTTCTGAAAGAGCCCATATACTTATCCTATTTGTACAAAAAGCATGCCCTTATCCAGATAGAAATACAGTCTCTTCACTTGGTTAATGAAAAAGACAGCAGTATGGTAATACGATAAGTAACTATCAGCTAAATTTCAAGGAAATTTTTCAAACTGCAGTAGGCAGTAATTATAAGACACTGGACAGACGGTGGGGTGGGAGGTATTTCTGTTTTATCTAAGAAGATTTTTACTTACTTTAACTACTTTCAGGTTGGAGAATACTGGAACCCACCTGGTGATAACTGTACAACTTACACATGTGAAAAATATGACGACCAGTTCATTCAAGTCATCTTTCAGAAAAGATGTCCTGACTTTGACCCTGACAACTGTGATCCAGTAAGTATTCTACCAGTTCTCATGCTTGAAATGATTGCAGTGGCTAACACCACTAATAGAAGGATAATGGTGTCCAAGGAAATTATGTAGCAGAAACATCACAGAGGACGTAGCTCTCATTGTGCCCATCAAATTTCATTTCAGAAAAGTAATTCAAAATTAAAATGGGTGATATATCAAGCCTCACTGAGAACTGGGCACTAGAGAAAAGGGTACAGCATAATGTTTTGGATTCCCAAAAGTGTCAAGTGACCTAGAAGCAAGAATCTTATTGAAAAATAATTGGACTTGTATTCCTGAATTATTTAAGATTATAAATTCTGTTTTAGAATTCATTTATTGAGAGAAAAGATGAAGGAAAATAAGCTACTTAAGCTCACAACATCATTCAACTTAATACACCTCAGAGTAGATTAGAACCAGCCCCACACATCTGTGGAGTCAGTTATTTCATTAATTCTGTTACCCTGTCTGACAATCCTTCACCCGTACTGATTTTGGTCACTCAAAATATCCTAAATGTGCTACAAGCTTTATTTCTGAAATTTTACTGCTGAACTCTGATGAGAGAAAAACAGTTTCAGTCCCCCTCAATATCAGCTCTCAAAGGACTCTTATTAGTATTGAAGTAGTTATGTATCCTTAATATTTAGCCTTGCTTGAAATTGGATTCCATGTCAATACAAAGAAATTTTTGGTGACAGAGACACTTAGGAAGGTGGGGAAGTCTCTGTTTTAGTATGCAGACATGAAACCTGAGGATTTTTTTCTGTTTTACCACTCAAGGATGACATCATACTATCTGACGATGGCTGCTGTAAAAAGTGCCAAGGAAATCTGAAGAGTAAGTAATGATAATTTTGTTAAGAGTAAGTAATGATAATATGTGCCTTATTAGGTATATTAGTCCACCTTGCATGGTGGATGCATAGACGGAAGAGGTAAACAGATGGGTGCGCATTGAGCAGTTCACAGAATCACAGAATCTTCTAGGTTAGAAGGGACCTTAAAGATCATCTTGTCCAACCGTCAACCTGACTGACAAAAATAGACACCCACACAACAAACAAGGAGCATCATCACTAAACCATCCCTCCCAGCACTTCATCAACCCATCTTTTGAACACCTCCAGGGATGGGGCCTCAACCACCTCCCTGGGCAGCCCATTCCAATGCCTGATAACCCTTTCAGTGAAAAAATTTTTCCAAATATCCAGCCTGACCCTCCCCTGGCGCAACTTGAGGCCATTTCTGGTCTTTATTTCTGCGTCCTGCACCAAAGTTGCAGAAGCAGAAAGGAATTTTTCATTCCTTGATAACACAAGCAGCAAGAGTCATTGTTTGTCTCCTAGCAATTAAAAGAGAAATACACTGTGACCTAGTTTCATATTTCAGCTCCATCCATTGCAGTTTTCTACTACAAACTGTCGTACACAGATATCTATCTATATGAACATATATCTTAACCTATTTTCCCTTGGTTTGTGACAACCTCAGGTTGCAAGAAGCACAATACTACTACTGTCATCAAATATCGTGGATGTGTATCTCCTGCACCTGTTGAGATGACATACTGTGAAGGCAGCTGTGATGCTTCCTCACGGTAAGTAGTACAAAAGGAAATTGTGATCTCTTGTCTTCTACTCTTTACAGTAGTTGCATACAGCAAATCACAAGTGATTTTCTAGTATGCCCAACAACTACCCAGTCACCACCTGTTTCCATTGTGTTAACAAGAATTTTTAACAGACAGATACAACAACAGATGATGTTGTATTAGCTTAATTACAAGGCTCACAATGTTTTAACAGCCTGTTTGGTGTCATAGTGAATAGACCCAAGTTTTGATTTTTCCCATGAAAAAGTGAGGTTATTTGTTTCTCACTATTCTCCCATTTTGGACTGGATTAATATGTGATCTGTATTAAATAATTTACTTTTTCTGTGCCTTAAAGAATTGCTGAGTCCATCAATTTTTACAATGAGGAGCAACTTAAATTTCACCACAGTACTATAAGAAGGTGATACTGAGCGATAGTCCTACATGCAATCACACAGCTTCTGGTTATATGAAGTAATGGGTGGGATTGGTAGTGGTATTTCTCACACAATTTCTGAATCTTTCTCTTCTGTTGGTTTTTCAATCAGATATTCTCCAGAGGCAAACGCGATGGAACATAAATGCTCATGTTGTCAGGAAATCAAGACCAGTCAAAGAAAGGTCACTCTGACATGCAGTGATGGAACCTACCTTGATCACTCATACACCTATGTGGAGAAATGCAGCTGTGTTAACACTGAGTGCATTCCCCAAGACAGCAGCCAACAGGCAACAAACCAGATAAAGGCCTCTCAGGAACAAGTGAATGTCAAAAATTAGAACTAGAGACAAGTCGTCAAACAATGGTTGAAAATAAGACTAAAAAAAACTTTAAAAAATACACAAGTGTCAAAAGCAGCTAAAATTTTTGATGAACAGATGATATTTTTGTGTACAAACTCAATATGTCTGACTACACTATTTCATTTTTCATTACCAATATATCTCCTGTTGTTTTTCATGGTTTTTTCTTTTATACCTTGAGAGGTACAGCACAAGGTCACTTTGACATTTTCTGTTTGCTTGTCTTTTGAGAAGTGCTGTACCCTAAGACTGAGAGTTGGATTTACACTTGCACAAAGTCTATTATGAGAACAACATTCTTTTCTAGCTTGAAGCTTGCCTGGGGTGGCATAATATAGAAGCTTGACAATATCTAATATTTCCATTCATGTAGACTGACCTTTTTTATAACATTTTCATTCCAATTGATTGAGACAAATCAAAAGCTAAAGTCCAAGAAAGAAGCAAACAAAAGCCAAGGAAAACTATACCTGTCTGCTTCTTTTCTTTTTTTTTTTTTGCATTAAGGAAATCTTAGACTCCAAAAAGCCATACCTTCTCAAAACTATAAACTTCAATATTTTGAATAATTTATAATGGGCATATTTTCCTATATGTGAGAAAAATAAAGTAATCCTATAATGAGAAGCTGCTGCACACTACTCTTTGTTTACATAACACCATCATCATATGAATCTATGGATTTTTTTTTGTTTGTGGTTAACTGTTTACAGAAGAAGTATATATATATAATGTTATATTTTTTTTTGCCAATGGGGGCATATGAAGGATTTTTGTAAACACAAGATAATAATAATAATAGTAATTAATAATAATATATGTAAACTCTTTCCTAGAGAGCTTTTAAAAGTTGAACTATTGCTATTTATTTTGTTTTTGGAAAATTGATTTATTGGGTCATTTCTTTCAGAATTAATGTTATTTCATTTCTTAGTCATAGTCATGCTATCTGGGTGTGGTATATTTCCTTCTATTTTGTTTTGGAATATTGTTTTATTTTTGTTCTTTATGGAAAAAAGTAATGATGATTAATAAATTTTAAGCATTTTATAGCATGTCTCCTTTGACTTTTCACTGAATCCCTCACATGAGAGTTGCTGGACCCATAAAATATTTGCTTCCCATCATACTACAGCCATTTCTCAATAGCTCCAGGTCAAATGTCATAGAATCATAGAATGGTTTGGGTTGGAAGAGACCTTAAAGATCATCTTCCAACCTCACTGCCATGGGCAGGGACACCTTCCACCAGACCAGGTTCCTCAAAGCTTCATCCAGCCTGGTCTTGAACATCTCCAGAGATGGGGCATCCACAGCTTCTCTGGGCAACCTGTTCCAGTGTCTCACCACCCTCACAGTCAAGAATTTCTTCCTAGTATCTAATCTAAATTTCCCCTCTTTCAGTTTAAAACCATTACCTCTTGTTCTATCGCTACACACCCTGATAAAGAGTCTCTCCCCATCTCTCCTATAGGCCCCCTTTAGGTACTGGAAAGCTGCTATAAGGTCTCCGGGAGCCTTCTCTTCTCCAGGTTGAACAACCTCAACTTTCTCGTCCTGTCTTCATAGGAGATGTGCTCCAGCCATCATCTTTGAGGCCCTCCTCGGTTCTCTTCTCCAGGTTGAACAACCTCAACTTTCTCGTCCTGTCTTCATAGGAGATGTGCTCCAGCCATCATCTTTGAGGCCCTCCTCGGGATCTGTTCCAACAGGTCCATGTCCTTCTTATGTTGGGGACTCCAAAGCTGGACACAGTACTCCAGGTGGGGTCTTATGAGAGAGAAGTAGAATCACATCCCTCACCCTACTGGCCACACATCTTTTGATGCAGCCCAGGATGTGGTTGGCTTTCTGGGCTGCGAGGGCACATTGTCAGCTTATGTTGAGCTTCTCATCCACTAGCACCCTCAAGTCTTTCTCCTCAGAGCTGCTCAATCCAGATTGTGGTACCTAACCCCTTAAAGAGCTTTGATACTGCTTTGAATGAAAGGCACCCAAAAACAAATACTGAAATTGTTCCAAGCACATCACCTCAGATGCTGTCAATTAGTGGCCTTCCAGTAAGCAAGTTCTGTACCTGACATACAGACTATACAAAGTATTCCAAACCAGTTAGACTCATATTTTAGAGCCCACTGCAACACACATTAATCTCAAACCTGAAATTGCGCTATTGTAAATCTACAGGTTTTGACAGGTTACTATGCAGCTTTTAATTACGCTATACTTTGAACCTGCCATCACAAATCTGACTGTAGATTGTATAATGCCAAGCCACACGTTTTACACTACCTGCAAATGACTGCCCTATTATCAGAAGGGGAACCAGCAAAAAATTAATGGTGATGACCTTTCTCCTAGTCTACAGTTTGGACAGCTCAGTAGAGGGAGTAACAGGTTTGAGGTAAAGCTGAACCAATTTTCTGTTCAGTAATTCTACTTTTTAGCTAAGTCTCTTCTAACTAGTGGAACTCTCTGAGATTAACAGCATATTGTCCAGGCACTGTTAGCTCCCACAGAGATAAGACCTGACTGTTCCTAATCTTGCTTATACTTACTGCTAGGCCAACCAAGGTCAGCTCACTTTGTTATTTGCCCCATTGGAGGGTCGGAAGAAGAAAAGACTAGCGGGGTCATACCTGTGGGGAGGTGGAGACAGGACAGCTGACCCAAAACTGATCAGAGTGGCATTCCATCCCATTTGCATCATGCTTAGTGTAAAAGCTGAGAGATCAAAGGGTCAGCTCTCCTTCTTCAATGGCTGGCATCCAAGGAGGACCCTGTCTGTTTGTCTGCCTTTGATCCCAACCCATGCATTCCTGAATCTGGATCCAGAATCCAGTTCCTGTCTGCCACCGAGTCCAGTTTGGGACTTTCCCAGTACCTGCCAGTGGTGTAAACGTCATCCTGGGAGCTTGATATGGTTTTGTACATATTGTATATATTTCATTATTTTATTTTTTATTATTTTATTAATATTTTCATTTAAAAATTCATAAGTTTCTTTCTTTCTCTCCCTCCTCTCCTTGCAGAGATAGAGGTGGGGGAGAGCATCTGTCATTCATTTCAGTAGCCAGTCTGGCCCAAAGCACCCTGTAACAACACAGGCTTTCTGCAGGTGCCCTGCAGCAACTTAGGCTACTTTCTCACACGCTTTTCTTTCACAGAACAACCTATATCCTCCCCCACACAGAGGTGAGCACTGAGTTCTCCCTGAGGATCACTGGTAGCATCATATTTCCTGCCGGCAAAAACCCCTACCTCCTCCCAGCTTCCTGTTGGCAAATTGATACTTCACTGTCTGTTTTTCCAGTCCTTAGGCTCTTCTTCTTGTTGAGACCCCAGGTGGCACAGTGCTCCGTTCTCTTCTTTCCACCTAATCCACCAGGCTTCCCAGTGCATCACTACTACTGAATTTATGACCAGTTCAGTGAATGACAGATTCTCTGGCCTTCCCAAGAAAGCTAGGAAATTATTATTCTCCCACTCATTCTGCAGAAGGGAAAAAAGATTGTCTATAACATAAGACCAATTATTATGCACTTTGGTCCACAACAGCTCCTTGTCCACAGTTAACCCACTGAAATAACAGATTCTCTGTGTGTTACTTCAAGATGATTAGTTGGATTTCCATGCAAAGCCTGTATCTCAGTATCCCAGTAGCTACCCTCTTCCCTGGAAAACTCTATGTGCACTAAACCTGTGCTACCAGCCACTTCATATAACTTGCTGAAAGAGGAAAAACTCGTATGATGTGGAAGAAGGGAATGAAAGACACATAATATGTGGCATACGGGAAAACTGAGAGACGATGACAGGGACAGCAGAGATCAAAACAAACCTAGAGCTTGGCGGCATAAAGAGGGGAAAAAAAAAAAAGAAAGAGAAGCAAAGGAATAAACAGACTTTGGTCCTTGCACGGGGAAACAAGGAGGAAAGGAAACTAGGAATGGAAACATAAGCCAAGGCAAACCATGGAGGCCTGACCACAGAACCACAGAACCTGTGACTGAGTACGTACTGGAGATGCTGCCTTAGAGAATGAAGGGTATGTATCACAGGTATAATACCAGTGCTGGGAAAGAGCAAATGGAAACCCTCAATTGAAAGAAGGAGAACAGGGGACAACATGCTTTGCACATGAAAGAGCAAGTGGAAGGATTTGCAAGGACTCCCTGACAGAAGACACAGAATAAGTGGAAAACAGAGCGCTGCAGTGGATGTAGCAGATCAGCCTTACAGGCTTCCTAAATTTTCTATTACATAAAACCTTCCTTTGTTCTGATTTATTGCTGACACAGACTGGGCAATAGCTCCAAAGTAAACCTTTCTGAAAACTGGGATGAATGAGATCAGACATCTCTTAAAAATAAATTGAAAATTTCTTAAACTATAGATAAATAATAAAGTCAATAAAAATCAGGTGGAAGAAAGTGATCGGCTTGTTACTTCTTCATTGAGACAGGTCAGAATACAGTGCAGGTCACGCTGAACTATACTAGTGTAGGTAATTAATGTCTATTACGCTAACGCTAGAGGGCTCTAGGGCCACAGTTTACAAGCCTGCATAAAAAGGCTTTCTGTCAAAAGAGTTTCTCTCAAGGCATTTCGAGTTGACCCACGTAATAACTATTGCCTTATTTTCAAATCATTAAGATAAGCTTTGCTCTTAGCTTGCTTTTGAATCTACAGGCATCCGTTCCATATAACAAATCAAGACTTGTTTACACATCACTTTTTTCTCTTTCTTATCTTTGGAACACAAATAAATTGCAGCAGAGAAATCATGCTCTTGGGACAGAATTTACTGCATCTGTACAAAAAACAATCAAAGGTTTTGGGACTAATTTCAATATTGGCTGTCAGCAGTCCTTCCTTGGGTATTCATACACTCGCTCCTCACTCAGGACTCCTGTTAGGTAGCTTAACTACTGCATGAGCAGCTAATTTTTCCCCCTTTCCACACAGCATTTTAAAACTCTGCAGTGCAATTAACAAATCACTAATTATCACTTTTCAACTATGCTTGGTAATTATCAATAACATCTAAAATATAACCTGAAATTATATGTCTATTCAGATTTACTGCCTAGGAGTCCACTTCAAGTAATTAATTTGACGGTTAAAGTACAACAGCCAGCTTTTAAGCCACATCTCGTTCTGACAATAGCTGTGCAATTAGCACTGTTTGTGGCACAACCCAGGAGGAGTGCTGATAAAAGACAACTCAAGAATGGAAGCCACTCTTGATAGTAGCAAAATCCAACTCAAAGGAGGGAGCTTTCTTCCTCTTCAATATGTTTCATTCGATCATGCAAAAAAGCATCTCTGTTGCCACCAGCCAAATTAAAACAGTTTTAAATAGAACAGAAGACTAGTTCTCTTTGAATATTATTAATGTAATAGTAAAACAATTATAAATGCACAGAAAGTACATTTTTGCAAATGATGCAGTGCTCACGATTGTAACATTTTCCTTACTGTTTTAAAATTGTCTTTCTTCTTGAGTATCAGGTTTCTTTTGGTGTTCGTTATAACTCTTATTTATAACTACAATTTCGGTATAAGGAACCAGCAAATGTTTGCAATGTTACAATAATTGTTATTACTAACAATTATTCACATAGTTAATATCTTTTAAATAGACAGAAACTTAGTTTGTCTGCTAACTCTTCTCCTGCTGTTAGTCATGCATGCAAATAAAATCCCACTTTTGCCTCCCTCTGTTTTAAGAAAGAAAGTCTGTCCAGGCAGTCAAAAATGGAGTTGTTAAACATAAGCAATTATAGATATCTCATGCACTAAGGCTCACAAGATGGTGCAGAGAACTGCATGAGTCTAGAAGCCAATTCTGAAACTAAAACACTGCTTCTGCACTTGCACCAGTCTAACAACAAGGATATCCCCATGGCTGTTAGTGGTTTTCACTGACTTCAAAATATAAATGCTAGAAACATTTGAGTGGAGTCTGATTCCAAGGCAAATTTGAAACTGGCCTAAGTTTTGGAGAGCACCACATGTGGACTTGGCGGCTGTTCCCTCACTCAGCA